AAAAAAGGTACGGAAGCTGTCACTGGGGCTGTACCTTTTCAAAAGGTACACTTTTGTCCATTTTAGGTACTAATTTGTACGTTTTATGTGCTAATATATACATTTTTGGTGCTAATATGTACATTTTAGGTGCTAATATGCACATTTCAGGTGCTAATATGTACATTTTAGGTGTTAATATGTACATTTTAGGTGTTAATATGTACATTTTAGGTGCTAATATGTACATTTTAGGTGTTAATATGTACATTTTAGGTGTTAATATGTACATTTTATGTGCTAATATATACATTTTATGTGCTAATATGTACATTTCAGGTGCTAATATGCACATTTCAGGTACTAATATGTACATTTTAAGTGCTGATATGTACATTTTAGGTGTTAATATGTACATTTTATGTGATAATATGTACATTTTATGTGCTAACATGTAAATTTTTGGTGCTAATATGTACATTTCAGGTACTAATATGTACATTTTAAGTGTTGATATGTACATTTTAGGTGTTAATATGTACATTTTATGTGATAATATATACATTTTATGTGCTAATATGTACATTTTTGGTGCTAATATGTACATTTCAGGTACTAATATGTACATTTTAAATGTTGATATGTACATTTTAGGTACTAATATGTACAGTTTAAGTGTTAATATGTTCATTTTAGGTGCTAATATGTACCATTAAGGTACCAATGTGCACTCTTAATATACAAAAGTGTACCTTTTGAAAAGGTACAGTCCCAGTGACAGCTTTTGTACCTTTTTTTCTGAGAGTGTAAAGTGTAATTTATTCCTGTGATTTTCAGCATCATTACTCCAGTCTTCAGTGTCACCTGATCCTAAAAGACATCACTTTAATTGTGTTTGTTTTTCTGTACACGTTGTGTGTTACCTGCGTTATTAATGAGCAGGTCCAGTCTGCGCTCGGCCTTCAGGAAGCTCTCAGCAAACGAGCGGATTGATTTCTGACTCGCAAGATCCAGTTGCATGAAGATCACATTCTCATTTCCAGTTTCCTATAAGGAAAGTATTATAATATTCTATCTTTTACAATGTTTGTGCAATAGTACGGAGGCGTATAGCATTCACTTGAAGAAAAAAAATCTACTCTGTTTTTCTGAATTAATGAGTTAATTTTTTTTATGAGAAAAAAAAATTCTCTGTTTTTCTGAATTAACGAGTTAATTTTTCATGACAATTTTTTTTGCTGTTTTTCTGAATTAACGGGTTAATTTTTCATGAGAAAAAAAATTGTTGCTCTGTTTTACTGAATTAATGAGTTAATTTTTCATGAGAAAAAAGTTTTTGCTCTGTTTTTCTGAATTACCGGGTTAATTTTTCATGAGAAAAAAATTGTTGCTCTGTTTTTCTGAATTAATGAGTTAATTTTTCATGAGAATTTTTTTTGCTCTGTTTTTCTGAATTAACGAGTTAATTTTTCATGACAATTTTTTTTTGCTGTTTTTCTGAATTAACAGGTTAATTTTTCATGAGAAAAAAAAATTGTTGCCCTGTTTTACTGAATTAATGAGTTAATTTTTCATGAGAAAAAAGTTGTTGCTCTGTTTTTCTGAATTAATGAGTTAATTTTTCATGAGAATTTTTTTTTGCTGTTTTTCTCAATTAATGAGTTAATTTTTCGTGAGAAAAAAAAGTTTTTGCTCTGTTTTTCTGAATTAACAAGTTAATTCAGAAAAACAGAGCAAAAAAAACTCCATGAAAAATTAACTCGTTAATTCAGAAAAACAGAGTAGATTTTTTTTCTTCAAGTGAATGCAATACGCCTCCGTACTATAGATAGTAAGTAAAGCAGTGTAAAAATGTATAATTCATAAAAAGGATTACTAATATATAGCAACATTTATTTGATTACATTTATAGCCTGCAGACTATGTAATTTAAATGCAAATAGAGAAAGAAAATTACATAAAAATTATAAAACGCCAAATATCTGAAAATCAGCCATGGAAAAACGTTGTTTTTGTCTGTAGTCTTGCCAGCCATATTATGATGTTATTAGTAAATGAATGAGAGTTATTCAAAAGTGTTGACAAATAGTATACAAGTATTACAATGTGGGGGGAAAACACACAAAAAGTATTTTAAAAATTGGGTTTTAGTCTCTGTAAATTTTAGTCAATGCAATATAACATTCATGAGGGGACAGGAAAATCCTCTCCGGCTCAAAATGACCTGAACACATTTTAAGGATACGACACAAGAATTGTTTTGAGATTCATTATACTTATTTTACTGTTCAAGGTTTGCTGAAGAGGCTCTAGTGTGACAACATGCCCCACTATTGCCATGCTCCACAGATAAACATTGTCAAAATAATTCCAGTTCAGATGGCTATGCAGAAACGATAAATGATTCTGTATTATTATACATTTTTAAGGCCAGACAAGTAATTTATTACGGTCAATTTGTAAAGAAAGACACGCCTGTGTGCACATATCAAATGCGCAAACCGTAATACACTTGCGCACGATGTCAGCGTTTTTCACAGTTTTGCGCAGAGGTAATCTTTTCTTCTGAAATTTTCATGACTTGCACCTGTAAGACTGGAAAAACTGGTTAAAGTTAAAATATCTGACCAGTGGCCTCTAAAGACAAAAGGCATTGCTTGCAAATGAACATTTGACACCCTACCCCCTACACCCTATCTCTGAACATCTTATCTGCTCTCTTTCACTCTCTCAGTCAATGATACTGAAAACTCACACAAGAATATGGTTTTAATGTGAATCTGATAATCTTTAAGGATTGTTTAGAATCATTTTGTTGGTCTCAGGGTGACTGGTAATAATGTCTCATTCCCAAAGAAGTTAAAGAAAAGGTAATAAGGTTTTTAAGAATATAGAAATATCTTGCACACAAAAGGGTGTGTCTTTGAGTTAATCTGAATGCAAACTCCCCTTCCCCCAGTAAACATGGTGGGGGTTTCAGTCCATTGTAGTTTGGTGATTGGATCAGGTAAATTTGGTGATTAGATCAGGTAAGGTTTGGCTCTATTTAAGGAAAATGCACAGGAGTTCATGGCTGCTTTCTGTATTCAGATCAGCCCGTGATGTTGTGTCTTCAAGGCTCAGCTCATGTAGTATGTTGGGTAAAGTTCCTTTGTCCTAAAACAATTGATGGTTTGCTCTGATTATCTTGTGGAATTGTAATAATACGTTTACCTGACATAATAAATTGTTATATTTGGCTATTCTAACAGACTTTGACTTAAGTTTCATTAGAGTTAAAAGGAATAGTCAAGCATTAACTACTAAATGATGCACATATATCATTGATAAACCCTTTTCATTTTATGGAGTCAGATGAAACGAGTTAATACATAAGATTAAATGTGTCGCATTTAACTAAAATTCACTTTGCCATGGAAAAGACGGAACACGCTTGAAACCTTCACCACGAATCGAACTCCGCCATTTGGGTCGATTTCGTGGCCCTTTTTACACACCTTTGCACCTGTTTGAAGGTTTGCGTTCTCGAGCTCCATACACTGTTCCCAGACAGCAAACTGACATTGAATCAACGTGGAAATATGACATCGAAACAACGTTGATCTGACATTGTTTTGCTCATCGAATTAACGTTGAACCAACGTCAGACGCGTCATTCTTTCAAAACTAACGGAAAATCAACTTGAAATCAACGCGTTGTTTCAACGTTATGAAAGCAAACCAATTTTCGATTTCATTTAGTTTTGAAGAATGCCGCGTCTGACGTTGATTCAACGTTAATTCGATGAGCAAAATCAACGTTGTTTCAATGTCATGAGAGACGTCGTTTCCACGTTGATTCAATGTCAGTTTGCTGTCTGGGTTGTCATGCGAATGAACGGCCAGAACACATTAAAAGTTTCTGTTTTCTGTTAGAATGGTGTTGTATTGGACGCTAAGTTAACAGGCCCCCAAAGCCCCTCCGGAAGCGAAAAACGCAAATATCTCGGCGAAAACTCAACGTATCGGAGACCGAGCTCCTTCAAACCGTCTCGCCGAACGGAACAAACCCATCCCAGACAGCAAACTGACATTGAATCAACGTGGAAACGACGTCTCTCATGACATTGAAACAACGTTGATTTTGCTCATCGAATTAACGTTGAACCAACGTCAGACGCGGCATTCTTCAAAGCTAAATGAAAATCGAAAATTGGTTTGCTTTCATAACGTTGAAACAACGCGTTGATTTCAAGTTGATTTTCCGTTAGTTTTGAAAGAATGACGCGTCTGACGTTGGTTCAACGTTAATTCGATGAGCAAAACAATGTCAGATCAACGTTGTTTCGATGTCATATTTCCACGTTGATTCAATGTCAGTTTGCTATCTGGGATATGCGTTTCGTCATTTTTGGTGGAGTATTCGCGGAGATATTAGCCGAAAACCGTCGACCGCGCCTGCGCTCTGAAATGGCGGCACAAGCTCGGGAGAAAATCGCAAATATCTCGGCGAATAATCAACGTTTCGCGCCAAATTTTTATCGAGTGGAGAACGGACCGAGACCTTTCGAAAGAGACCAGCCCTCAGCCTCATGGCCCCCAACTAACTTAGGCTACTTTAACTTACTCAAAACTAATTTAGCTGGACAATAACTTTATTCTATAGAGCTGCTGTAAAGCCTAAACAATCTAGTAGCAACTGTAAAACTGCTTTGCAACAATGAATCTGGTTAAAAGCGCTATATAAGGTGACTTGACTTAATTATTAAGTAAAACGATGTTATTGCTAATATTAGTGTTACTTGTTCATCATTGTGTCGGTGTTTTATTTGCGTACTTTTAGCTAGCTTCTTTCCACGAAGAACATAGTCACGAAACACTTGTGTGTCCATTAAGGGCCACCGTAGAAACATGTCGACTGGGTCAATACGAACACATCAGTGGCACACACATATAAATGTTGCCCCGTTCCTCCTCACACTCACCATCCTAATCTCTCGAGCTGCTTCTTCTCCTTTCTGTTTGCTTCGACAGGCCAGAATCACTCGGCCTCCTCTCGCCGCCATCGCAGACGCGGTCGCTTTCCCAATGCCAGTGTTCCCACCTGTCACACACATCAGACACAGGTATGATTATAATACACATGAATATGTGTTCTGTATGATTCAGCGTGGCACTGAATCAGCTTCATGTGAAGTATTTGCACCTATGACCTTCACAACCTTTTGACCTCAATTGGCCACAGAAATATTTGAAGCACAACTATGGTTTCATTACAATTTACCAGGTCAATAAATCAAACACACTTTTCCCCCCACAAAATTTATACATTGTTTCTGGGGGAGTCATTTTGAGGCCCATATAAACATATTCTGTTTTATCTAGTATATGTCATGCAATGCTACACTCTAAAAAATGCTTTTAAAAATGTTTTAATCCAATTTTGGGTAAAGTATGGACAAACCCAGCCATTGGGTTACATTTTTAAATTACATTTTTAACCCAATGGCTGGGTTTGTCCATATTTTACCCAAAATTAGGTTAAAACAACCCAGCATTTTTTAGATTGTAATATGCAACACTAGTGTAGTTTTTATTAATATTTTGAAGCTTTTATTTTTTTAGTCTTTTTAGTACTTTATTACGTATTTTTTATGTATGTGCTTTTGTCATTTTTCTTAGCTTGTAGGTTTTATTTTGTATTTTTTTTAGTTCATTTTTAGTTTGTATTTATTTCCAGTTAGTCATTTTAGTAATTTAGTTTAAGATATAATATTTATAATTTATTACAGCTTTAATTCTGATTAATGATTATAATTATTTAGTTTTAGTTTAGAAGAAAAGACTCTCAGTTCTGTGATTTTTACAGGAAATAACAATCGTGATATCTCTTTAATATCACAGTTAAATGGAGGTTTTTGCTGAATTGCTCAGTATTTCTTCTAGAAAATAGACTCCATTTTTGTCTTCAGTATTTGCAATGTCTCAAATCAAAAGTCAGAGATGTTAAAATGATCATAATCGTCTGAGCTTCTCTCCGCATCCACTGTTTAGCTCTGTACTTTCCTGAATATCCACATCCGAGTTCACATCTACGAAGTTGAACAACCTCTGAGAAATCATGCAGATAAACTTTTGCACGAACGTCTGTTTCACCTACCGGTTACAATGACTGTCTTCCCATGTAGTTTGGCTGTGCCGGTGAAGGTCTTCCTATGAACAAAAATCCTATGAAAAATAAAATATACTACTAACAAAGCCACGATAACCAGAAAGAGGATCATTTTGACGGCCGTGAGCGCAGCCGTCTCTTAACACACTGAAGCTGAATGAACTTGCAGATCTGGAGTCACACACACCCCTTTTAAACTGCCTGGTATTCTGGAATGTGTGTGTTATATAATGACATCCGGGTGATGAACAACATTTACTCAGGCCCCTTTAACACAATAACTGAAGAATCAGTGCATAGTCATTGTGTTTCAGGACAGACGGCCCAGTTCCTCACCTTTCCTCCAGTCTCTCATGACTTACAATGCATGTAATTCAAGAACTTGCTGGACTGAATACCATAAAGATTTATTACTTACTGTAATGTAGTGAAATCTCTTTGTTTTGTTCTGCTGTTTGCTAAGGTACACTCTAAAAAATGCTGGGTTGTTTTAACCCAACTTTGGGTCAAATATGGACTAACCCAGCCGTTGGGTTAAATTTTTACATTACATTTTTAACCCAACATTTCGGGTTTGTCCATATTTGACCCAAAATTGGGTTAAAACAACCCAGCATTTTTTAGAGTGTAAGCACATGCAAAGCAAATACAAGTTGTTTTTCATGAACGCAACACTGCTTTTATTTCCTTTTAAGTGTGTTTGATAAACCTTCAAATCTGTTAAATGCATAATTTCTTGTCAGTGAACTCGATCAGCATGCTGTAAATGTATGTCATTTTAGATTAGTTTGAAATAAAGATGTTTTTTTTCCCCCTTGAACAATTATCTCCATAGATCACAGAGACACTTATGACTTTACTTTGTTGTGTGGCCTCTATCATTCAGTCATAAAAATACTGTGCATCCAGCACTGCATGTTGTGTGTTGTGTGTGCATACAGTATAAAAAATAAAAATAAAAATAAATATATATATATATATATATATATAGTAGACGTTTCCTACAAGTTATTTTTTACATTTTATTTTTATTATAGGCCTATGTTATGTGTCATTTAAAAAAATGTATATATATATATATATTGCAGATAAAGTTTATTTATTAAAACCTGGATTAAATGCAATATCATTTTCAGATTAATCCAATTTTACAGATAAAAATGTTAAGCCTTGGTTAAGCGTATAGTATGAAATCATACCAATCATAAAAACGTGAAACTTTCTTTACTGCGCGCCTCTGACCTGATTCTGCACGCGCTTCTCCAGCACGCGCTTTTACCTCAGTCTTCAACAGTAAGTCGCGCGCATTTCGTTTTGCTGACTGACTAACATTACTTTATCGACCTCTTTATTGAATAATTGCTTATAGTTAATGTACGAGTGTAAATAGTGTGATTTCAGATTGATTTGACACGTAGCATACAATTGAAGAGAACATAAATTTAACCGAGAAGTTTTTTTTACTGACCAAAAGAGTCGTACTAATTCATTGGTAAGAAGTTAATTTGTAGGCTAATGTTGCCTGTGAATAAAAATTATATATATAGGCCTATAAAAAAAACTACAGTTTTTGAATATATATCTTAAATCACATGGCCAGACATCACTTCTGACAACTACTGTATAATATAAATACATACACAAAAGATGATTTAGTGTGTTTATTTAACGTCTCACGCTAGTGATCCTAATGTGTGATGTTACTGCGCATGCGTAAAATCTCGTTTGTTGTAGATGTCATGTGGGCGGAGCAACAGTCTCACGGAACACTTTACTACTGGTCATGGTAATAAATGGCAACGTATGCGGAATTTATTTAATATTTACGAGTAGGCTTACGTTATTGGTCGATTTAAAAAAAAAAAACATTGCTTAATTAATACAAGCATTGCCTATGAATTTACCGTAAACTGCGCGCTCCCTCCACAACTTCCTCATTATAAAAACTACCTGTATTTCAGTTTCTATTTCAGAAGGAAATTAAAGTATCTGCCAACACACCTGTAAGTTCTTTATGTTATTCTCATTAATTGCATTTTTACCTTTGCTTTTTTTTTACTGATCTTTTAAAAAAAGTTCTGCATGCTTTGGAGTGTTTTTAATGACGAATGGGTTTAGATAACAAGACGTGACTGTGTGTAAGTCTGTGTCTAAGTCTGTCTGTGTGTTGTTTTTGACATTTCTGAGACAGTCTAAGACTAAAACGTATCGTATTATAGAAGAAGAAGAGTAACATTAAACTTAATAATGTGACATGGGCAATAAAGAGAAACTGCCTGACCTACTTTCTGGGTGACACTGACTCACCCAGCCTTCATCAATCATCAAGCTGTTAAATGATGTTTGTATATCTTATGATAATGATATTTGTGATCATTGTGACTTAATGATCATCTAAATCTAGAAAGAAGGAAACAAGTTATCTCTTAGTATTTTAAGGGAGTTTGACACGCCCGTCCTGTAGGCTAGTTTTTTTGGGGTTTTTTTAGGAAATATCTTTGAAACCAGTTTTGTTTTTGACTCAACAAAAACCCAAGTTTGACACAAACAGAATATATGATTATATATTGCTTATTGTTCCGTAACCTAAAAATGTCCTTGCGGTTTTACCACCAAAATCATGGCGGAAGGAAATAAGCAGGATGTGAATACAATGACACGACATTACAGATAAACACTTACTGTAATTTACTGGTGCTACATTTCTTGTAACTGCAAGGATACAAAACGCATAATAAATAATACCTATATTTATTATTTTTGTAACATTTATTGCATTATTAATTAGTAGATCTGTTTCTTTTGTGTTCTTTTAGTGACCATGTCGGACGGAAAACCCAGGGGTGAAGACACTGTGGACGCCAGAAAAGGGGAAGAACAAGGGTATGTGTTTGATTTTGGTGGAAATCGATTCATTACAAACATTTAATTGCAAGAAACCGTCGATTGATATATGTAGGATATGAGTTAGAACTCATTGTTTACTGAGAAAATGCTTTGATCACCAAAAATTACATATTTATAATAGGTTTCCTTGGAAAAGCAATCTTAATGCCTTTAAATATCTTGAATGTAACTCGACACCCTCGCCTCATTTAGTATGCAGGGTGCTATGAATATGCAAATTAGCCCCGCCTCCACTCACTCACTCAGAGATCCACTGGTTGACGATCACACGTTGATCTGATTGGTTACAAGGTCATTTGTGTCGTCAGAAACACCAGCGATTTCAAACCGTGTTTTTGAGCCTGTCTTTGGTCTTTGGTACTGACTTATGAATTTACACACGGTTTAAGCGTATTAAAAACACATAAACAACACTAAAAGCTGGATTTACACCACAAGGGGATTTTTTTATAGTATGACTAATCATTTGAATAGTGTGTGAACACAAAAGGCCAGCAAAACAGGAACGAGCAAAATGAGTATATGTGGAAAATATAACTGGAGGGCAGAACAGGTTCGTGAGTTTTCAACCCACAAATATTCAGATCACCTCTAAGAAGAAAAACTAAAATATGTGAACAAACTGCTTCAAACAAACACAAATATGTGAACAAACTGCTTCACTTTTGTGTCCTTAAACGCTTGTTTTTTGGGGTTGACAGCTTATAAAAAAAAGTATTTTTTTGTTGTTTTTTTTAGCTTGTTTGCCGTACACCTCGTCACATAGCAGCTTTTAGACTTTGTTTTTTGTTATAGACCATTTCACAAGATGTAAACAACACTGGTCCAGAAGCACTTCCTGTTTCAGTTTTTTAACACTACATAAAAGCTGGGATAAAATACAACCAACAGAACATATAAAACTGAATCAAAAAGTTAAACAAACATCTTTAAGATGTTTTCTTTGCATGTGAAACAAAGAAAACAGTTACAAACTGAAACAGGAAGTGCTTCTGGACCAGTGTTGTATAAGTCAGATTTGACGAGGAGGCCGTTTCACACAATACAAAGTCAATTGAGACGGTGTGGGTGTGGTTTCAAATTATGATGATGCGTGCCGCTCTGTCTCTATTGGTGGATCTCGTGTGAGTGACAGGTGTTTCACTCTGATATTGAGAATGAGGAGTCACGTGCCGTTGTGGGCGGGGTCTGAGCTGGTCGGCCATGATGGCAGGAGACGCTATCAGTTACCAGGGGCAACGCCTTTAGAACCCATAGACGCGACTAAACATTCCAGAGCTCTTAAATTTTCGCGCATTTATTATTTTGGCAGGACAGAGACGGATCTAAGAATACGAGAAAAAAAGGAAGAAAGTAAAGCAATGCTAAAAGATACAGGACCTTACAGGAACAAACTCACACAAAGTGCAAAACAGCTGTATTTGGAGAAGCACCATCAATATAATTGTTCTTTTGCACTAATAACAGTATTATTATTTTATTATTATTACTTATGTTGTCCATGAAACTTATGTTGTCCAATGTCCAGTGTTGTAGTCGAGACCACCTCACTCGAGTCCGAGTCGAGACCGAGACCAGAGAGAGTCGAGTCCGAGTCAAGACCGAGTCCATAGACAGTCGAGTCCGAGTCGAGTCGAGTCCGAGACCAGAGACGGTCGAGTCCGAGTCGAGACCGAGACCAGAGAGAGTCGAGTCCGAGTCCATAGAGAGTCGAGTCCGAGTCGAGTCCGAGACCAGAGACGGTCGAGTCCGAGTCGAGACCGAGACCAGAGAGAGTCGAGTCCGAGTCGAGTCCGAGACCAGAGACGGTCGAGTCCGAGTCGAGACCGAGACCAGAGAGAGTCGAGTCCGAGTCCATAGAGAGTCGAGTCCGAGTCGAGTCCGAGACCAGAGACGGTCGAGTCCGAGTCGAGACCGAGACCAGAGAGAGTCGAGTCCGAGTCGAGTCCGAGTCGAGTCCGAGTCGAGTCCGAGACCAGAGACGGTCGAGTCCGAGTCGAGACCGAGACCAGAGAGAGTCGAGTCCGAGTCGAGTCCGAGACCAGAGACGGTCGAGTCCGAGTCGAGACCGAGACCAGAGAGAGTCGAGTCCGAGTCGAGACCGAGACCAGAGAGAGTCGAGTCCGAGTCGAGTCCGAGTCCAGAGACGGTCGAGTCCGAGTCGAGACTGAGACCAGAGAGAGTCGAGTCCGAGTCGAGACTGAGACCAGAGAGAGTCGAGTCCGAGTCGAGTCCGAGTCCAGAGACGGTCGAGTCCGAGTCGAGTCCGAGTCCAGAGAGAGTCGAGTCCGAGTCGAGTCCGAGTCCAGAGAGAGTCGAGTCCGAGTCGAGACCGAGACCAGAGAGAGTCGAGTCCGAGTCGAGACCGAGACCAGAGAGAGTCGAGTCCGAGTCGAGTCCGAGTCCAGAGACGGTCGAGTCCGAGTCGAGTCCGAGTCCAGAGAGAGTCGAGTCCGAGTCGAGTCCGAGTCCAGAGACGGTCGAGTCCGAGTCGAGTCCGAGTCCAGAGAGAGTCGAGTCCGAGTCGAGTCCGAGTCCAGAGAGAGTCGAGTCCGAGTCGAGACCGAGACCAGAGAGAGTCGAGTCCGAGTCGAGACCGAGACCAGAGAGAGTCGAGTCCGAGTCGAGTCGAGTCCGAGACCGAGACCAGAGAGAGTCAAGTCCGAGTCCATAGAGAGTCGAGTCCGAGTCGAGTCCGAGACCAGAGACGGTCGAGTCCGAGTCGAGACCGAGACCAGAGAGAGTCGAGTCCGAGTCCATAGAGAGTCGAGTCCGAGTCGAGTCCGAGACCAGAGACGGTCGAGTCCGAGTCGAGACCGAGACCAGAGAGAGTCGAGTCCGAGTCGAGTCCGAGTCGAGTCCGAGTCGAGTCCGAGACCAGAGACGGTCGAGTCCGAGTCGAGACCGAGACCAGAGAGAGTCGAGTCCGAGTCGAGTCCGAGACCAGAGACGGTCGAGTCCGAGTCGAGACCGAGACCAGAGAGAGTCGAGTCCGAGTCGAGACCGAGACCAGAGAGAGTCGAGTCCGAGTCGAGTCCGAGTCGAGTCCGAGTCGAGACCGAGACCAGAGAGAGTCGAGTCCGAGTCGAGTCCGAGTCCAGAGACGGTCGAGTCCGAGTCGAGACTGAGACCAGAGAGAGTCGAGTCCGAGTCGAGACTGAGACCAGAGAGAGTCGAGTCCGAGTCGAGTCCGAGTCCAGAGACGGTCGAGTCCGAGTCGAGTCCGAGTCCAGAGAGAGTCGAGTCCGAGTCGAGTCCGAGTCCAGAGAGAGTCGAGTCCGAGTCGAGACCGAGACCAGAGAGAGTCGAGTCCGAGTCGAGACCGAGACCAGAGAGAGTCGAGTCCGAGTCGAGTCGAGTCCGAGACCGAGACCAGAGAGAGTCAAGTCCGAGTCCATAGAGAGTCGAGTCCGAGTCGAGTCCGAGACCAGAGACGGTCGAGTCCGAGTCGAGACCGAGACCAGAGAGAGTCGAGTCCGAGTCCATAGAGAGTCGAGTCCGAGTCGAGTCCGAGACCAGAGACGGTCGAGTCCGAGTCGAGACCGAGACCAGAGAGAGTCAAGTCCGAGTCCATAGAGAGTCGAGTCCGAGTCGAGTCCGAGACCAGAGACGGTCGAGTCCGAGTCGAGACCGAGACCAGAGAGAGTCGAGTCCGAGTCGAGTCCGAGACCAGAGACGGTCGAGTCCGAGTCGAGACCGAGACCAGAGAGAGTCGAGTCCGAGTCCATAGAGAGTCGAGTCCGAGTCGAGTCCGAGACCAGAGACGGTCGAGTCCGAGTCGAGACCGAGACCAGAGAGAGTCGAGTCCGAGTCGAGTCCGAGTCGAGTCCGAGTCGAGACCGAGACCAGAGAGAGTCGAGTCCGAGTCGAGACCGAGACCAGAGAGAGTCGAGTCCGAGTCGAGACCGAGACCAGAGAGAGTCGAGTCCGAGTCGAGTCCGAGTCCAGAGACGGTCGAGTCCGAGTCGAGACTGAGACCAGAGAGAGTCGAGTCCGAGTCGAGACCGAGACCAGAGAGAGTCGAGTCCGAGTCGAGTCCGAGTCCAGAGACGGTCGAGTCCGAGTCGAGACTGAGACCAGAGAGAGTCGAGTCCGAGTCGAGACCAGAGAGAGTCGAGTCCGAGTCGAGACTGAGACCAGAGAGAGTCGAGTCCGAGTCGAGTCCGAGTCCAGAGACGGTCGAGTCCGAGTCGAGTCCGAGTCCAGAGAGAGTCGAGTCCGAGTCGAGTCCGAGTCCAGAGAGAGTTGAGTCCGAGTCGAGACCGAGACCAGAGAGAGTCGAGTCCGAGTCGAGTCCGAGTCCAGAGACGGTCGAGTCCGAGTCGAGACTGAGACCAGAGAGAGTCGAGTCCGAGTCGAGACTGAGACCAGAGAGAGTCGAGTCCGAGTCGAGACCAGAGAGAGTCGAGTCCGAGTCGAGACTGAGACCAGAGAGAGTCGAGTCCGAGTCGAGTCCGAGTCCAGAGACGGTCGAGTCCGAGTCGAGTCCGAGTCCAGAGAGAGTCGAGTCCGAGTCGAGTCCGAGTCCAGAGAGAGTTGAGTCCGAGTCGAGACCGAGACCAGAGAGAGTCGAGTCCGAGTCGAGTCCGAGTCCAGAGAGAGTCGAGTCCGAGTCAACTCCTCATTCTCAATACGTCACAATAGGGAAGAAAAGACGAGCACAGTTTCCGTTTCATGCCGCTTGTGAAGTTCACAGTGTGAAGTTAATGAAAGGATCTGCTACCTAACCACTTCCTGAAGTGACCGGCAATAATTTCCACTTTAATTAGGAAAGACTCATAAAAGTGTTTGCTCTCGCAGAACTCAGTTTCTCACCGATGCCGGAGTCGATCACACCGATGCCAAACCACGCTCTGATGCTTTCCAGTACAACATGAACTACGGCAGTCTGGGACAGTGCATGATCATCAACAACAAGAACTTCGACAGGAAAACAGGTAAGAGCTGGGAAGCACACACACAGGTTCAAAGGGTCATGAAACCCCAAACACATTTTTTAGAAATTACAGGCTCCACATCACTGAATAATAATAATAATAATATTAATTTATTGTCATTGTAATTTCATGAAGTGCAACAATACTAAAAACACTCCAAAACAGGTTATTTTTCTGAACAATTTTTGTTCTTCCGGGTAGAAAAGCAGTCGGGGTAGAAGTTTGATCGATTCGGAGCGTGTGATTGGCTGTCGGCTCGATTCTACATCACTTGATCTTCAAGCTAATATCTGCATTTATACATGAGAAAGAGCTTGTTCAATCCGGTGTATTACGCTTTAGATCGCATTACAGCGGAGAATTCAAACAACATCGGTTTGTACTCGATATATAATATAACTGTACATCTGTTCTAACTGAAGTGGAGATTACATTTGTACAATTATATTAAATAAATGATAAACTCTAAAAATTCAACTTATGATTCATAATGTATTATGTAACGTTATTGAGAGAAAAATCAGTACAAAAATATGCTCAATTTTGATTAAAAAAAAGTCATTTTTATTGTTAGAATTGTGTTTTCATGATATTTAAATGTGAATCCAATTGGAAAAACTTGTGAAAAGATATATTTCAGTGAGTCAAATAGCATATACTGGAGCTCTATAGCCCATATATGCTATTTGATAGTTTAAACTAAAATGATAATTTTTTAAAACTACATTTTTGAAAATATGGGCAAAGATTTTAGACTAAACCATGTAAAATTTAGAAATTTGGTGGGTGAATTTTACATTAAAAGCTGTTTTTGTATATAAACCCTCCAGAAACTGCACAAATGCGGAATAAAAACATTAATAAACAGAGTAAATTTACAAACAAAACTATTATTCCGTTCTATTAAATAAATGATAAACTGTAAAAATTCTACTTTTTATCTTTTCCAGGTTTGATTCATAATGTAACATTATTGAGAAAAAAATCAGTACAAAAAATTCTAAACGTTAATAAAGTAATTTTTATTGTTAGAATTGTGATTTCACGATATTTAGACATGAATCAAATTGGAAAAACTTGTGAAAATATATATTTCAGTGAGTCAAATAGCATATACCGGAGCTCTATAACCATCTAGTGGCTAAAATGATAATTTTTTACTTTTTAAACTACATTTTTGAAAATATAGAGTAAATATTTTGCCCATATTTTCAAAAATGTAGTTTTAAAAGTAAAAAAATGATCATTTTAGCCACTAGATATGATTACTAGATATGACCCACCAAATTTTTAGAAATTTGGTGGATCTTTTATAAAGTGAATTTTACACAAGCTGTTTTTGTATATAAATACTCCAGAAACTGCTCAAATGTTGAGTAAAAACATTAATAAACACAGTAAAATTACATTTGTAATACATTAAAAAACTATTATTCTGTTAAAAAAATAACATCTTCGGAGACCCCAAGTCCACGAGTGCTACTGTTTTTCTCACGCTAACATAAAACTGATATCATTATTTATTTTTCTTTGGTAGATCTAGAAAGGGTCGAGAGCCGTACAAAGTGGACAAAGAGAACACTTTTTAAAATTCACAATTCAGCAAAAGTCATTTGCGGGTTAAAAGGCCGTGAGGAACATCTGAGGGTTAACCCTTTAAAGGTTTAGTTCAGGTGTTTGTTTGTCCTCATATTAATCTCTTTTATACAGGGATGGGAGTTCGTAACGGGACAGACGAGGATGCAAAGAATGTGATGGAGACCTTTTCCAAGCTAGACTTCAATGTCAGCGCTACAAATGATCAAACTGTCTTACAGATGATGGATTTGTTGACTAAAGGTATATTTTGCATGATCACTGATTGATTATTAGAATGATTGAATGGCCCGTAATCTCACGAGGTCTTCCATCCTCAGTGTCTCGGCAGGATCACAGTAAGTCGGCCATGTTTGTGTGTGTGTTGTTGAGTCATGGAGACGACGGGCTGATTTATGGCACGGATGGATCTATACCGCTGAAGAACCTGTTTGAGCTCTTCAGAGGAGATCGCTGCCCTTCGCTGGTGGGAAAACCCAAGCTCTTCTTCATTCAGGTGAGCGTCACGAGTCCAGTCTTCTTCATTATACAGATTTAAAGGAGTAGTTCACTTTTGAAAACACTTTTCCTGATAATTTACTCACCCCCGTGTCACCCAAGATGTCCACGTCTTTCTTTCTTCAGTCGAAAAGAAATTAAGGTTTTTGATGAAAACATTCCAGGATTTTCTCCATATAATGGACTTCAATGGGGTCCAAACGGTTCAAGGTCCAAAAGACAGTTTCAGTGCAGCTTCAAACGACACCAGACGATGAATAAGGGTCTTATCAAGCGAAACGATCGCTCATTTTAAAAATAAATAAAAAAGCTTACGTTTTATAAGCTCAAATGCTCGCCTTGCTCTGCTCGTTTGTGACTGTGACTGCTCGTTCAAACTGTTTTTCCGAGTCATTTGGTTCATTCAACGAACGAAACGAACGAATTGACTCGGAAAAAGATTAGTTTCGCTAGATAAGACCCTTATTCATCGTCTGGTGTCGTTTAAAGCCCTGTGAACAGTTTGCACTGAAACTCTCGTTTGGTCCCCATTGAAGTCCATTATATGGAGAAAAATCCTGGAATGTTTTCATCAAAAACCTTCATTTCTTTTCGACCGAAGAAAGAAAGACGTGGACATCTTGCATGACATTGAAAAATTAAATGAATTAAAATCACTCAGAGATCCACTGGTTGACGATCACACGTTGATCTGATTGGTTACAAGGTCGTTTGTGACGTCAGAAACACCAGCGATTTCAAAGCGTGTTTTATGCTGTCGACTTATGAATTTACACACGGTTTCTCTATTTAAAAACGCCACATAGAGTGCTTTAGTTGCTCTTTCACGGATGTGTTGACCCTGTGTGTGTCCAGGCCTGTCGAGGCACAAAACTGGACTCTGGCATTGAAACGGATGGTCCAGATGACACGGAAACGAAGAGAATTCCTGTGGAGGCCGACTTCCTGTACGCGTACTCCACGGCACCAGGTATCTGACGTCTCGCTCGAGGCAGTTTCCTCACACAAACGAAACCACTCGTCCTCAAACGTGTGTTTTCCGTCTCTCCTCAGGGTATTACGCCTGGAGGAACGTCGCTCAGGGCTCCTGGTTCATCTCCTCGCTCTGTGAGATGCTGACAAAATACAGCAAGCAACTGGAGATCATGCAGATCATGACGCGGGTCAACCACAAGGTGGCGCTGGACTTCGAATCCTCCTGTAATACGCCAGGGTTCGGTGGGAAGAAACAGATCCCTTGCATTGTATCTATGCTGACCAAAGACCTCTACTTCCCTAAATAATTCATCTTTTCTTTACTGATTAAGTTGAACACTTTTTTTGTACAATTTATTCAGACACCTTCAACACTTCTCACTTTATCACAGTTTATTCGCTGTAGTTTAGAAAATGGGAATAAATGGCGTTCTCAGATCAGTGGATATTTGACGGGTTTTGTCCGTCCTTCGACTCTCACACATGAATTATGTTGAATATCTGTTCAATTTAACTACACAATTAGATAATACTAGTTTAGCTCAAGCAATGCTTCATGTTGTTCAGTGTGCGTGTAAAACAGAAAACACACTGAAGAAAACATCATCAGAGCTCATTTCTGATCCCAAATTTGTATAAGTTTGACTGGAATGAAGAATTATTGGGTGTAATGTGTCTCTCCTCACTTATATAAATGAACTATAGTGTCCTAGTTAAAAAATATCAAAAATGAAATCTGGTGTCTGAATAATTTTGGGTTTGCCTGTGACAGACTCTGATTTTAATGTACTGTTTTTAATGGGAGGATTTTAAATGACTATCTATTCTTTTTAGTTATGGTGTGGGACATGTTTACAGTGCTGGTTTTGACAGACAGCTCTTTTTTAATCTTTATATGCTCTGTAAGCCTCATCTGAATGCCTGCGTCGTTGAATGTTTCATGCAATAAAGATTCATACAGGAAGAATATGTGAATAAAAGATTAGCACAGTTTTAATGATGATAAATAAACATTTTACTTTTGTATTTCATTTGTGTGCGTTGTGTAATTAGCTTTGAGTTGAGCAAATACTAAAGATGAGAAGAGAAATGTCAAAAAAAAAGATAAAAAGTGTGTGTGTCGAGCATCATATTAGAGTGATTTGTGAAGGGTCATGTGACACTGAAGACTGGAGTAATGATGCTGAAAATTCAGCTTTGATCACAGGATATAAATTACACTTTACTGTATATTCACATTATTTACACTAATAATATTTCACAATATCACTGATTTAATCAAATGGAGCATTAGTGAGCAAAATAGACTTTTTTTTGTTTAAATATTTAAAAAAATATATGTACATATATTTAATATGTGAATTCTGTTCAGTTTAAATTAATCCCTAATACAGTCAAAAAATGACTGTAAGTGTTTCTTTCAAAAACAACTTCTTAAAGGTAGTGTATAATGTCTACATATGTGGAAACACACACATATTCAGTTGATGTTAAATTATAGTTAAAAAATAAATACTCATGCTATTACTTTTGAAAACTGTAAACATATATTGTTGGTTTAACTTAAAAAATGAAGTAATCTGGTTGCCTTAAAAGCTCATTGAAATGGAAAAATTAAGTTAGAACATTGATTTAATCATCAGAAACTCAAAATATTACAGTATGTTATCATATTACTATTTATGCATAAACATTTTTATGTACAATTTATGCATAAATATTTATGTTTTCTACATAAATTAAGTTGATTTGACAAAAGATAAACGTTGTGATTTCAATTTTTTTTACAGTGCACTTCCCAGCATGCAGTTTGTTGACGTAATCCCCCCGCGATCTGAGAACGGTGTTTCTTCACCGCTAGGTGGCGCGATGTTCCAGATCAGCTGAAAAACAAGGTGTGTTCCTGAGAAATGCAACAGAAAGCAGAACTGCTCCTCGAAACCTTAACCTTATTTCTGTTTCAGTCTTGTTTCTCAAATCTCCAGCAAGCTGTTTCCTTTGTGTGTTGTTTGATTCAAAACTAGCCTATACTAGGGGAAAACCCGGATGATTTAAGAAAGAAAGTGGGTTTTAGAAATGCTTTTGCAATTATACTTCTCTAGTAAAGACTGTGAGTCTAATGCATTATTTAAATGGAGTTTGTGTTGCTAGAGTTTGTGTGTTGCATCATATGCTGGGAGTTGCAGGGCTTGGCAGCAGAGATAAGATATGACACTGTGTGTGTGTGTGTGTGTGTGTGTGTGTGTGTGTGTGTGTGTGTGTGTGTGTGTGTGGACTGTAGACACAATGAGGATAGCATTGCACAGCTGACGTTATACCTTTAACTAACAACTTGCATTGCCAATCTCATCTCTAAAACTCATGATTTTTTTGCAAATGTCATTCCAGCTACAGGGATGGACTGAACTAATATGTGCACTTACACAAAAAACATTGCGAATGCAAATTTGAATACAGTCTGCACATAAATATATGTGATATATCACAACTGAACTCTCAGGAACATGAAACTTTGGGCATTTTTCTAGTCCAACACAGCCAGCACTTCTGCACGCTGCAACTTCGCCTTTAAGAAGCAATAACGAAACAACGAGGAAGTGAAAATGAAATCGACTTTCGCATTTCAGCCTGCAGCCAATAAGCAGAGCAGCTAAAAACTACTATGGCAAAGACCAGGCTCATGAATATTAAGTGGGTCCAAAGACGTTTCTTGGGTTTAACTCCAGTAAATGTGAATTTCAAAGTGCTCGATTCATTAATATGTAGTATTGCGATATAAACAATATACTATTGAATATTTAATACAATAAGGTGTCAGTGATGTTAATTAATAATTAATAAAAATATACAATAAAAAAATATTTTTTCGTAATATTCACGAGCGATATACTATGTATTTTCCTTGTGTGGTAACACAAAGATATTTCTATTATTTGTACTATGGATTTTCCCAGTTAATTTTTTTTGTATAAGAAACCAACTCTGCTTTTCAGCCAATCGGTGTGCGAACGTCTCGCTACGTCATTAATATTCATGAGTCAAGCTTTCCGTGTCACTGCGCCCTCCTCGTATGCCATCCAATCAGCTCGCGAACGGCTCGCCACGTCGTTAATATTCATGAGACCCTTCCGCACCATAGTAGGATCTGTAAACACGAAGTAAGCGCACACCACACACTCACACACACGCACACTGGGGATTTCCACCCAAGCGCTTGTTTCCTTCACTTGTTTTGCTTTCGATCTGAAGAGCGAAATCAAGCCCATTTGACTTTTCGTTTTGTTATCGAGAACTACAAATTGTCAAGACTCCTCACAGACTATTTGCTTTTATTCCTGGAGTGTTTTCCACGCGTCGCAGGTAATAAATCGCATTTCCGCATGTATTTATGGGGGCTCGCATGAATATAAGTGCATGTTTATGCTGTAGGCCACGTAGGGTGAGTGTAAAATCGAAAGTCAAGGGGTGTTTGGATCCAATGGGAATCAAGGAATGTTTATTTTCACTTTTGAGTTGACTTGACAACACTAACACACTTATTTGAGGAGGTTGAAGTCTTCTGGTTCAGTGTACTGTAAGAATGATTGGGCCACTTTGGACGCCACAATGTCATTTTACAGTAAGTACAGTGCAGACCTATTGAATAACACGTGTTTTATTATCAAATTATGCTGTTGAGAAGTTTGCATGGACTTGTGGATATTGTTATTGACTTACATGGGTGTAACATTGGCACTGCAATGGAAAGAGTCTGTCACGAACTGGTGCAACAATATCTGTATCAGTGATAAGCTGAGACATATAGCTTGATATTCACATGACATGTTAAAAACGGCTTTCTTTAAGCAAAAAGAGCTCATAATCTAATGCTTTCCATTTATGTTGGCACATAAAGTGAAATATCCAGTACAAGTGAGCTAGAAACGCTAACATCAGCTGATATAAGACCAGTATTTCATCATGCTTCCCTAGTTATTGAGTTATGGTTTTGTGATTGTGTTTTAACAATGTTGCATCATAATTCTCATGTTAGTATGCAGTGAAATGCATGCATGTTGTTGTTCACTTCGTAATGGACCATAAAAGCTCAAAGGTCTGAGTGACAAACGTACGATTTTAAAGAGTGCGTTTTCTTTGTGATTAACTATAAACCTTTTTACGAGCTCAAATTGGTCAATCGGTAACTTTTGATTTGCATATTCAAGAATCAAGCAACATCATGCAGTTCTGATGTCTGTCATCATGCATGATCAATATTACAGGTTTAGCCACATGCACGAACACACACTTCTGCGTCCTCTGTTTGTGTTGTCATTCAGGGCATGACTCATGGAGCAAAAACCAATCTTCTCATAATCATTTTGTTTGCCGTAACTTTCAGTAAATTGTGATTCAGACGGTCTTTCCTGGTGCTTTGCTTTCAGAAATGGGGTTAAAGTTTGTCATCTTTCTTCCTGGAAAGTCATGAAGGAATGTACAACCTGTTGAAGGAGGAAAAGCTGCTGTCAAACCGTGACAAATGCCAGATCTCTCTCTCTTTTTCTCTAGGACAGCATGCCGGTAGAGAGAATGCGTATGAGGCCGTGGTTAGAAGAGCAGATAAACTCGTGTAAAATACCGGGACTCAAATGGGTCAACAAGGTACAGTGACTGTGCTAGTCTTTTTATAGCATGGATTTTTTTTAAAACTATAATCGCCATGAGCACGATGCTATTACTCGTGAAGTGTTTTGTCATTTTAAAGTGCACACATGCAGGGTGTGTCTTGGTCCGTGACATGTTTTGCATGTTCTTTGCCTGCAGGAGAAGAGAATATTCCAGATTCCATGGATGCATGCCGCGCGACACGGATGGGATGTGGAGAAAGATGCTCCTCTCTTCCGAAACTGGGCCATACATACAGGTGCAGTCAGCATGAAACACTGACACGTGTCAGCATAAACACACACATACCGACTGAGTGTGAAAATCTCGTACTCTGAAGCCGATCTGGTTAAAACTCGGATGCTGTTTTTGCATTTGCCGAGACGAGCTGTTGTTGTTGGCATTGTTGTTGTTTGGGAGTTTTGAATGGTTGCTACGGTTTATAGTTGATTTCTAGGGTTTTCTGGGTGGATGCTGGGATTTTACTAGTTGGTTGGTGGGATGTACTGGGAGGATGCTGGTTTTACTAGTTGGTTGGTGGGGTGTACTGGGAGGATGCTGGTTTTACTAGTTGGTTGGTGGGATGTACTGGGAGGATGCGGGTTTTACTAGTTGGTTGATTGGGTGTACTGGGAGGATGCTGGTTTTACTAGTTGGTTGGTGGGATGTACTGGGAGGATGCTGGTTTTACTAGTTGGTTGATTGGGTGTACTGGGAGGATGCTGGTTTTACTAGTTGGTTGATTGGGTGTACTGGGAGGATGCTGGTTTTACTAGTTGGTTGGTGGGATGTACTGGGAGGATGCTGGTTTTACTAGTTGGTTGGTGGGGTGTACTGGGAGGATGCGGGTTTTACTAGTTGGTTGATTGGGTGTACTGGGAGGATGCGGGTTTTACTAGTTGGTTGATTGGGTGTACTGGGAGGATGCTGGTTTTACTAGTTGGTTGGTGGGATGTACTGGGAGGATGCTGGTTTTACTAGTTGGTTGATTGGGTGTACTGGGAGGATGCTGGTTTTACTAGTTGGTTGGTGGGGTGTACTGGGAGGATGCTGGTTTTACTAGTTGGTTGATTGGGTGTACTGGGAGGATGCGGGTTTTACTAGTTGGTTGATTGGGTGTACTGGGAGGATGCTGGTTTTACTAGTTGGTTGGTGGGATGTACTGGGAGGATGCTGGTTTTACTAGTTGGTTGATTGGGTGTACTGGGAGGATGCGGGTTTTACTAGTTGGTTGGTGGGATGTACTGGGAGGATGCGGGTTTTACTAGTTGGTTGGTGGGATGTACTGGGAGGATGCTGGTTTTACTAGTTGGTTGGTGGGGTGTACTGGGAGGATGCTGGTTTTACTAGTTGGTTGATTGGGTGTACTGGGAGGATGCGGGTTTTACTAGTTGGTTGGTGGGGTGTACTGGGAGGATGCTGGTTTTACTAGTTGGTTGATTGGGTGTACTGGGAGGATGCTGGTTTTACTAGTTGGTTGGTGGGATGTACTGGGAGGATGCTGGTTTTACTAGTTGGTTGGTGGGGTGTACTGGGAGGATGCTGGTTTTACTAGTTGGTTGATTGGGTGTACTGGGAGGATGCGGGTTTTACTAGTTGGTTGATTGGGTGTACTGGGAGGATGCTGGTTTTACTAGTTGGTTGGTGGGATGTACTGGGAGGATGCTGGTTTTACTAGTTGGTTGATTGGGTGTACTGGGAGGATGCGGGTTTTACTAGTTGGTTGGTGGGATGTACTGGGAGGATGCGGGTTTTACTAGTTGGTTGGTGGGATGTACTGGGAGGATGCTGGTTTTACTAGTTGGTTGATTGGGTGTACTGGGAGGATGCTGGTTTTACTAGTTGGTTGATTGGGTGTACTGGGAGGATGCTGGTTTTACTAGTTGGTTGGTGGGATGTACTGGGAGGATGCGGGTTTTACTAGTTGGTTGGTGGGATGTACTGGTAGGATGCTGGGGTTTAACTAGTTGGTTGATTGGGTGTACTGGGAGGATGCTGGGATTTTACTAGTTGGTTGGTGGGATGTACTGGGAGGATGCTGGGGTTTTACTAGTTAGTTGGTGGGAGGTACTGGGAGGATGCGGGTTTTACTAGTTGGTTGGTGGGATGTACTGGTAGGATGCGGGTTTTACTAGTTGGTTGGTGGGATGTACTGGTAGGATGCTGGGGTTTTACTAGTTGGTTGATTGGGTGTACTGGGAGGATGCTGGGATTTTACTAGTTGGTTGGTGGGGTGTACTGGGAGGATGCTGGGATTTTACTAGTTGGTTGGTGGGGTGTACTGGGAGGATGCGGGTTTTACTAGTTGGTTGGTGGGATGTACTGGTAGGATGCGGGTTTTACTAGTTGGTTGGTGGGATGTACTGGGAGGATGCTGGGGTTTTACTAGTTGGTTGGTGGGATGTACTGGGAGGATGCGGGTTTTACTAGTTGGTTGGTGGGATGTACTGGGAGGATGCTGGGGTTTTACTAGTTGGTTGGTGGGATGTACTGGGAGGATGCGGGTTTTACTAGTTGGTTGGTTGATGTACTGGGAGGATGCTGGGATTTTACTAGTTGGTTGGTGGGATGTACTGGTAGGATGCGGGTTTTACTAGTTAGTTGGTGGGATGTACTGGGAGGATGCGGGTTTTACTAGTTGGTTGGTGGGATGTACTGGTAGGATGCGGGTTTTACTAGTTGGTTGGTGGGATGTACTGGGAGGATGCGGGTTTTACTAGTTGGTTGGTGGGATGTACTGGGAGGATGCGGGTTTTACTAGTTGGTTGGTGGGATGTACTGGGAGGATGCTGGGGTTTTACTAGTTGGTTGGTGGGATGTACTGGGAGGATGCTGGGGTTTTACTAGTTGGTTGGTGGGATGTACTGGGAGGATGCGGGTTTTACTAGTTGGTTGGTTGATGTACTGGGAGGATGCTGGGATTTTACTAGTTGGTTGGTGGGATGTACTGGTAGGATGCGGGTTTTACTAGTTAGTTGGTGGGATGTACTGGGAGGATGCGGGTTTTACTAGTTGGTTGGTGGGATGTACTGGTAGGATGCGGGTTTTACTAGTTGGTTGGTGGGATGTACTGGGAGGATGCTGGGATTTTACTAGTTGGTTGGTGGGATGTACTGGGAGGATGCTGGGATTTTACTAGTTGGTTGATGGGGTGTACTGGGAGGATGCTGGGATTTTACTAGTTGGTTGGTGGGGTGTAACGGGAGGATGCAGGTTTTACTAGTTGGTTGATTGGGTGTACTGGGTGGATGCGGGTTTTACTAGTTGGTTGATGGGATGTATTGGGAGGATGCTGGGATTTTACTAGTTGGTTGGTGGGGTGTAACGGGAGGATGCAGGTTTTACTAGTTGGTTGATTGGGTGTACTGGGAGGATGCGGGTTTTACTAGTTGGTTGGTGGGATGTACTGGGAGGATGCGGGTTTTACTAGTTGGTTGGTGGGATGTACTGGGTGGATGCGGGTTTTACTAGTTGGTTGGTGGGATGTACTGGTAGGATGCGGGTTTTACTAGTTGGTTGGTGGGATGTACTGGGAGGATGCGGGTTTTACTAGTTGGTTGGTGGGATGTACTGGGAGGATGCTGGGATTTTACTAGTTGGTTGGTGGGATGTACTGGGTGGATGCGGGTTTTACTAGTTGGTTGATGGGATGTACTGGGAGGATGCTGGGATTTTACTAGTTGGTTGGTGGGGTGTACTGGGTGGATGCGGGTTTTACTAGTTGGTTGATGGGATGTATTGGGAGGATGCTGGGATTTTACTAGTTGGTTGGTGGGGTGTACTGGGTGGATGCGGGTTTTACTAGTTGGTTGATGGGATGTATTGGGAGGATGCTGGGGTTTTACTAGTTGGTTGGTGGGATGTACTGGGAGGATGCGGGTTTTACTAGTTGGTTGGTGGGATATACTGGGAGGATGCGGGTTTTACTAGTTGGTTGGTGGGATGTACTGGGAGGATGCGGGTTTTACTAGTTGGTTGGTGGGATGTACTGGGTGGATGCGGGTTTTACTAGTTGGTTGGTGGGGTGTACTGGGAGGATGCGGGTTTTACTAGTTGGTTGGTGGGATATACTGGGAGGATGCCGGTTTTACTAGTTGGTTGGTGGGATGTACTGGTAGGATGCTGGGGTTTTACTAGTTGGTTGATTGGGTGTACTGGGAGGATGCTGGGATTTTACTAGTTGGTTGGTGGGATGTACTGGGAGGATGCTGGGATTTTACTAGTTGGTTGGTGGGATGTACTGGGAGGATGCTGGGATTTTACTAGTTGGTTGGTGGGATGTACTGGGAGGATGCTGGGATTTTACTAGTTGGTTGGTGGGATGTACTGGGAGGATGCTGGGATTTTACTAGTTGGTTGGTGGGGTGTACTGGGAGGATGCTGGGGTTTTACTAGTTGGTTGGTGGGATGTACTGGGAGGATGCGGGTTTTACTAGTTGGTTGGTGGGATGTACTGGGAGGATGCGGGTTTTACTAGTTGGTTGGTGGGATGTACTGGGTGGATGCGGGTTTTACTAGTTGGTTGGTGGGATGTACTGGGAGGATGCGGGTTTTACTAGTTGGTTGGTGGGATGTACTGGGAGGATGCGGGTTTTACTAGTTGGTTGGTGGGATGTACTGGGTGGATGCGGGTTTTACTAGTTGGTTGGTGGGATATACTGGGAGGATGCCGGTTTTACTAGTTGGTTGGTGGGATGTACTGGTAGGATGCTGGGGTTTTACTAGTTGGTTGATTGGGTGTACTGGGAGGATGCTGGGATTTTACTAGTTGGATGGTGGGATGTACTGGGAGGATGCTGGGATTTTACTAGTTGGTTGGTGGGGTTTACTGGGAGGATGCTGGGATTTTACTAGTTGGTTGGTGGGATGTACTGGGAGGATGCTGGGATTTTACTAGTTGGTTGGTGGGATGTACTGGGAGGATGCTGGGATTTTACTAGTTGGTTGGTGGGATGTACTGGGAGGATGCTGGGGTTTTACTAGTTGGTTGGTGGGATGTACTGGGAGGATGCTGGGGTTTTTCTAGTTGGTTGGTGGGATGTACTGGGAGGATGCTGGGGTTTTTCTAGTTGGTTGGTGGGGTGTACTGGGAGGATGCTGGGTTTTATTAGTTGGTTGATGGGTGTACTGGGAGGCCACTTATTTGATAAATCCAAAGATTCCAACACTATATATATATATATATATATATATATATATATATATAAACAGTATATATGTGATATTCTCAATCTTATATATAGTTTATTTCTACATCTGTATTTAATGAAGGCAATACAAATATAAGAAGCTGAAGTGATCAAGAAATGTTATTCTATATTATAAGTGTGTCTGGTTTTCCACTGCCATTTCTTTAGGTAAATATCAACCAGGTGACAAACCGGACCCCAAAACATGGAAGGCAAACTTCCGCTGTGCCATGAACTCCCTGCCCGACATAGAAGAGGTGAAGGACAAAAGCATCAAAAAGGGAACAAACGCCTTCAGAGTTTACAAGATGCTGTCAGCGTCTGAGAGGCACTCAAAGAGAGGTCAGTCGATAACACGCACCCCTACTGGCACTAGCAACGTTTACACGGACACCTTTTGAACTTTAGTGTTCACACTGCACGGATATAGTTTCCCGCTGTTTGCACCAACTATTCTCCTTCATCGCTTCTTTTCTTCGTTTTAAAGAGCAGACTTTATATGTATGTATTTCTCTGATGAGCACTGCTGCGGGATGAGGGTTCAGGAGTGCGGTTCCAGCGGGGTTATTAGGGTCTAGTGTTGTCAAAAAACTCGGTACTTCGGTACCAAGTCGGTACTAAAAAAAAAAAAAATGTTACGGTACCAGCTTTTCTAGGTACCGAGTACCAGGTTAATCCAGTTCTGTTCTAGACGCGATGTCTGAAACGTGCACAGTTGCGTCCTCTTTAACGCTGATATGGCTCTCTCTCTCTCTCTGAATCCACTTGTTGAAACGAAAGGAGGAAAGAGCCACATATGGAAATATTTTGGATTAGGCTAATGTCACGTTGCCATAAGAGGCCGATTACATGCAAATTCGCAATTTCAAATATAGGCGTGATTCAAGCGCGCTCCTAATAAAAACTCGTTGGCGTTGCATAGCAACGACAGACGCCGCGTGAGAGCAAGCGCTTTGGAAAGAATAAGCACGCGCAAAAATATAATTAAAAAACACGCGCGACATGTGAACGGCCTCTAAAGTGCTTTCGGGGTAGTTTTACGAGTACATGAGCACAGTAGTATCTACCCGACACCAGAGTACTATGGTATTAGTATTATCATTTAATGTCAATGCCAGTTCTAGGCGTATTCTTGCCTTTATAACTCAGCAGGTTTAAAAAGCCTTTTTAAAATTAAATATGAATGCAGTTTTAGATTAAATAAAAGGACAGTCAAGTCAAATAAAACATGTTTTATGGTAATGCTATACAAAGATACCATTCATAAACATTACTTAGTTATCAACACATTGAGTGAACAATATATGTTTACAACATTAATTAATGTTTGAAAATGTTATTTATTACAAACACCTGATTGTTCATGTTTGTTCACTTAATTCATTGTGCATTAAATAAATAATGGATTAAAACTTTACAAACAACTTTAAAAATGTGTTAGTGTATACTATTGTTTATTTTATGTCATTTTATCTAATCTTTTTCTAAAGTGTTTATAATACGAATGTACAGTTTCCATACTTGTAACCGTGATAAACACTTAAATATATGTAAATTTAAACTAAGCTTTGGTACCGAAATTGGTACCGAGAACCGTGAATTTTAACTGGTATCGGTACCGAATACTGAAATTTTGGTACCGTGACAACACTATTAGGGTCCATGTAAACACTGCTACTGACTTCATCACAGACACACACCTGACATGCCTGGACATGATGATGTGGAGTTTAAAGACATTTCTCATTTCAAACCATAGCACTCAAGTGGTATTTGTAGTGATACCATTTTAATTTTAGTTCAAGTTTTGGCATTCTTGTTGTGCGTTTTGGACATTTGCATTAGTTTGTTTTTAAACAGTTTTTATGAATTATTATTTCAGTTTAGGTATTTGAGTAGAACTTAAACTGCATGAAAATTAAGTCTGAAGGTTTTTTTTTTTACATTTTAATTTATTTGTTAAAATTAAATTTATTTTGAAGTGACACTTTTTTCATGGTTTTAGTGTTAGTTAACTATAATAATTCTGCTATGATCCCACTTAGTCTGTGTGATGTGTCTCACAAAAGCTGAGAAGAAAATATGTTCATGTCATATTTCACCCCCAATTTTTTTTAATTAATTAATTTTTCTACATTATTTCCAGGACAATATAATACCTTTTTCTTCAACTTATCATTACTGCAATGCAATCGTTATACATATACACATGTAGTACCGGTCTAAAGTTTGGAAACATTACCATTTTTAATATTTGTAAATAGAAGTGTCTTATGCTCTTTAAAACAGTACTATTGTGAAATATTATTACAATTTAAAATAATAGTTTTCTATTGTAATATATTTTAAAATATAATTTATTTCTGTGATGCAAATCATCATCATTAAACATGATCCTTCAGAAATCATTGTCATTATCAATGTTTATAACCTGTGATACTTTTTCAGGATTTATTGATGAATAGTAAGTTAAAAAGAACAGCATTTAATCAAAACCCATTATTAATTGTTATTAATGTCTCTTCCTTTAGTAGAGCAAAGCTCAATGTTAAGGATGTTTTTATTCTTTTCTTTAAACTTCAAAAATTTCGCAAGTTATTTAAGATCCTCAGGTACTGTAGGTCTAAATATGGCCATAATATTCAGGTAGAAAATATAGAGAAATTAAATAAAGATTAATCGCATCCAAAATAAAAATTTGTGTTTACATAATAAATGTGGGTGCACTGTGTATAATTATTTTGCATATATAATATATATAACACACATGCTTGAATATATTTAAGACATATGTTCATGTATATACTGTATATAGATTTATATATAATTTATATTCTATATAAATATAAATATTTTATATACTGTATAAATATTTTTTTTCTTAAATATACATGCATGTGTGTGTATTTATATATATAATATATAACATAATTATCGTATAATTATAAATAACAATTATAATTTCAATAATATATGCTGTAACATATGAAAGATTTTGGGGTTTAAAAGGACTTGATTGATTTGCATGCATTGATCTAGATGTGTGTGTGTGTGTGTGTTTCTCACAGGAAAGAAGCGAGTTGCTGAAAAAGAAGAAAAGCTGAAGGTATGAACTCTCACTTTTGGGTGTGTGTTGTTGTGTGTAGTCAGAAAAGCTGCAGTGATATATAGGTTGTTATCCGAGTCGACTCAGGTGTGTGTGTGTGTGTGTGTGTTAACCAGTGTCCCGAGGCCTCCAGCTGGGAGAACAGCAACGGCTCGTCCCCGGTGACTGTCAAGCAGGAGGAGGATTACTACGGCACAGGTACAGTCCGGATCCACCCGCCACACCTGTGCCACGGTCATGTGACCTAACACAGGTGGAACCTGTTCTCCACACTTTTTCCTGTTTACACTTTTACACACAACCAGGTCGTGATTCTCAGGTGTTGAATTGACCGATAAATGACGCCATTATGATGAGTGTCTTAAAACTGGGCTTATTGACACTAGTTCAACCAAAAACATTTTTACTTAAAGGGATAGTTCACCCCAAATTGCAAATCACCATCATATTTGATGCATAGATTTAATCAATATATACAAAGTTGTTATTATTATGATTACTAAATACAAATATAAAATACATATCAAGCCATTCAAGTGATTTGTTTTAGGGCTGTTATAACTTTATATTTAATAAAGAATGACTTCTGCTCTGGTTGGACAGAATTTGAAAGGGTTATTATATTATATTATATTATATTATATTATATTATATTATATTATATTATATTATATTATATTATATTATATTATATTATATTATATTATATTATATTATAAATATTATATGCTTTTGTTTGTTTTTTAAAGAGACCCCTAAGATAACTTGGGAGATAATTATATTATTGTTATGTTTTAATAACTAAAAATGAACACTTTTCAATGGCTTGTTGTGAAGGTATTATTATTATTAGTTTAATAATAATGTTTTGTATTTTGTATAAAATATTTTTAAATTATTATCTTAATTATAATTATATCAACAACAAAAATTTTAGGGGGAAAATGATACAAAAAAAAATTATTTCTAAAATAATTACCAAAATATTATTACTTAAAATACCCCTGAAACACTTGTGAATTGCTTAATGCGTATTTATTTTTTATTTTTTAAAATATTTTGTTGTATCATTTTCCCCCCAAATATTTAGTTGTTTTATTAAAATAATAATCTCATATTTGATACAAATAATAATAATAATATAAAATTATTGTATATGAAAATACAAAGAATTATAATTAAAATAATAATAATAATAATAATACCTACACATCGAGCCATTGATGTCATGCTTTTTTAAAGAGAAACTTAATGTGTATTTTATATTTTTATTTATTAATCATTTATTAAATATAATTAAAAATATTTTATTAAAATGTATTATTGATAATAAGTGTGTTAAATGTGTTCTCTCTCAGGGTTATCTTAGGAGTCTCTTTAAAAAAGAATAAAAGCATGACTTGTGGTGTGAGCGAATATGAAAGGCTCCTTGAAAACACAACAGCGTTTGTTCAGTGTTCCTCAGTCACTTGCTGCAAATACCCACAATGCTTCAGGCTTCTCCTGATGTTGTCGTGCCTCTCCTGTCCGAGTTCACCTACATTATAAAACACATGCATCGCTTCACAGCCTTTCTCTCAAACACCTCAAACTTTGAGTTGTGAAATATGAAACTCATATTCCACCCCATAATCAAAGCAGAAAAGGACTTTTATATTATTTTAGGATTATTTTTGACTTTTTTTTACCCACCAAATTCCCATACTAAAATTGTATTAATTCTAATTAATGTAAATTAATATTATTTTAGTTTTTATTTTAGTTTTATCATCATTTTATTAATATTTTGAATATTCTTAGTTTTTTAGGTTTTATATTAATTTCCTGTTGTGCTTTTCTTTTATTTCAGTTGTAGTTTTTGCATATAATAAATGTAGTGCTTCAACATAAACACATTTCAGTTTATTTGCTTAAGCCTACAATTTTTTTTTTCATTTCATAATATTCAACAAATATTTATGTTTTATTTTATTATTTCAGATTTATTTCAGTTACCAAAAATTAATATTATATTATTTAAGTTTTTATTTATATCATTATTTTAGTTAAAAAATCACATTAATTTAGTTTTTTTTTGTGATGTGCTTTTGTCATTAAATATTGCTATTTATATTTAATTCAGTTTTATTCCACTTTTTGTTATTTCTACTTAATAATATTAGTGCTTCAACATTTTCATGCCACCAATTTTTCAACAAATATTTGTTTCAGCTTTATTTCAATGACCAAAAATTTTATTTTTGTTCAATAAAAATCAACATGAATTATATTCAGTACACAAATGACATGCACTTTATGCAAAACATTTATTTAAAAAACAAATAGTAGAAATAATATGACTTGAACATGTTCGTCAACACAAGATTCATCCTTTAATATTTAGGAGGTGATATGATCCCACAAACCTGTTTATCCAGATCTCCTTGTTTCTGTGTTTATTCACGTCCTCCTGACTCAGTAATGCACACTATCGGGGTAAAAGGTGAGCTCAGTGTGTGTTTGTTTTTGCAAGTCAGCATTGATATGAGCCGAGGTTTGCGATACACATTGAATTGGCAAAGAAATAAACCAACAGCAACGTAATTCATTTACAAAAAGCCTTTCAGCCGGTTAATTTGTTTTTAACATGGTTTCCACTGCATCATTTGGTTATAGAGTCATGGGAAATCGAGTTCAGCTGCATGTGTGCTCGGTGAAAAATGAAATCTCACACAGATACAGAAAACACACTCACTTCCCACTTCACTGTTCTCCATATTCACTCTCTCTTCCTTCTTGCCGTTCCTCAGAGGCTGACGGGCGGGACGACCACCTGATCATCAACGACCTTCCTGACGTGTGTCAGACCATCGAGGTGGTGACGGAGAACGAGGATCAGGCCGTGACCTCCAGTGACCTCCGCGACCTCTACCCCCTGCAGATCTCCCCCGTCTCCTCGTACGGAGGTTGGTTGGACGCGTGCACTCGCATCCCTTTAGTATGGAAGCTTTTGTCCGACACGGGATACAAAAAACAATATCTTTTTATCGTTCATTATTCTGACTAATTTTCTCAGATTTTAGATATAAACTTGCAATTGCGAATTATATCTCACAATTCAGACTTTTTCCCTCTATTGTAGGTTAAAAGTCCGAATTGCAAAATATAAACGTTCAATTTGGACTTTTTTCGCAATTGCAACTAAGTTTTAAAGTCCAAATCGCAAGTTATAAAGTTACAAAATTTTTAATAAACTCACAATTCACAGTTTATTCAAAGTTCTTGCAATTGCTAATTTATATCCCAAAAATCTGACTTTTTTTCCCTCAATTTTTTTTTCTCAGAACTGTTTATATCATGCAATTGTGACTTTTTTTGTGCAATTGCAAATTTATACCCCACAAATCTGACCTTTTTCCCTCAATTGTACGTTTACAATCCGAATTGCAAAAAAAAAACGTTTAATTTGGACTTTTTTCGCAATTGCAAGTTATATAGTCCAAATTGCGAGATATAGTTGTTTTATATCTCATAATTCTGATTTTTTTTTCTCAGAACTGTTTATATCATGCAATTTTGACTTTTTTTCCACAATTGCAATTTATAAAGTTAATATTGCGAGATATAAACTCGCAATTGTAAATTTATATCACACAATTCTGACTTTTTCTTGCAATTGTAAATTTATATCCCACAAATCTGACCTTTTTCCCTCAATTTTTTTTTTCAGAACTGTTTATATCATGCAATTGTGACTTTTTTCTGCAATTGCAAATTTATATCACACAAATCTGACCTTTTTCCCTCAATTGTACGTTTACAATCCGAATTGCAAAAAATTAACCGTTCACTTTAGACTTTTTTCTCAACTGCGAGTTATAAAGTCCGCATTGCGAGATATAAAGTTGTTCTATATCTCATAATTCTGACTTTTTTTCTCAGAACTATTTATATCCTACAATTTTGACTTTTTTCCCGCAATTGTAAGTTATAAAGTTAATATTGTGAGATATAAACTCATAGTTCTGACTTTTTCTTGCAATTGCTAATTTATACCCCACAAATCTGACTTTTTTCCCTCAAATTGTACGTTAAAAGTCCGAATTGCATAAAATTAACGTTCAATTTGGACTTTTTCGCAATTGCGAGTTATAAAGTCCGCATTGCAAGATATAGAGTTTCCTTATATCTCATGATTCTGACTTTTTTTCTCAGAATTGGGAGATATAAACTTGCAATTGCGAGTTTATACTCTGAAAATTTATATCTTACAATCTTTTCGCAATTGCAAGTTACATAGTCCAAATTGTGAAATATAAAGTTGTTTTATATGAATTCTGTGAGTTTGTATCATGCAATTATGACTTTTGTTGGGCAATTGCAAGTTGCGAGATATAAAGTCGCAATTGAAAGATAAAAATTGCAAGATTGCAATTTCGAGGAAAAAAAAGTCAGATTTGTGATTATATATTTTTGAATTATGAAATATAAATTCACAATTCTTAGAAATAAAGTTGCAATTCTGACTTAATAAATAACTCCAGTTAATGTCTCAATTTAAAAAAAAAAGTCATAATTGTGAGATGGAAAAATCTCAGTGTTTGTATTCCTTAGTGGAAACAAGCTTCCATAACTTAGCCTTGACTATATTCACATTAATCCAGCATGGCCTTCAGAGCCTTACATCTGTCCAAATTTTGATGGTGTAATTTTGGAGATTTGCACACACTGAACTGTGTTTGAGCCGTGATGACGCAGTTTAATCTCCACTTTTTAATCAATAGGAATTTCCAAACCCGATAGATTTGCAAATCGCAATTGAGTTTTGATTTCGATTATTAAACAATTATTGTCACTCTTCCTGTAAAGCCCAAACTTAACGTACAAATCAGTAAAATCATGTAAGGCGACTTTCGCAAAATGGGATGTGCGTGATATTAAAAAATAGTATGTACGTATAATGTAAAGGGCTGTCACTTCTGTGAACAATCCTGGTCGATTTTTGAGACTGAAGTGTTCATTGAATCGATTTTCAACATCTAAAGACGTTTCCATTTTCAACACCAAATCAAATATAGGCAAATCCACGGACACAAATACAATTTTTTGAGATTCACCTATATATTGTAATTTGCCTTTTTTTATTGTAATACTGATGGTTTACTTATTTTTTTTATATTTTTTTGTTCTATCGAAATTGATATCAGGAATTGTGAAATTTCACTGATATCTAAAATTTTGTCATTGCAAACTTATATCCCACAAATATATATACTTGAAATACACTGCTATCGTTAAATAAACAAGGTTTGGTCATGTGACCCACTCATAGTATTACAATATTGACACAAATAATCGTGATTATGATTTTTGCCACAATCAAGCAGCCCTTCTTGTGTTTGTGAACAAACAAATCAGCATTAGAAACATTCTCACATCAAGAGACATTTACTTGTGAAAATATATATAGTCTGAAATAAATTGAGTTTGCATAAAAAGTTAATTTTCGGATTTTTATTTTTGTTTTAAGGCATAAACTAACTTTATTTTTTATAAATATTTCAGAACACAAGACTTAATATCATAGGTCACTGTATGTTTATTCAAGAACGTTTAGATATTTAGATATTATGCAATACTGAGGAAGCAAATCATTTATTGCAAAGTAGATACAGTCAAAAGTTCATCAAAACAAAATGACATTACTTAATTCTGATTGACTATTTGACTAAATTTTTTAGATTTTTTTTTTTTTTTTTTTTTTTTTAGAATTTTTTAGACTAAATTTTTTAGATTTGACTAAATATCTGCCAATGGGCTCAAAAAAATAATCTTCTTTTTGAATTTTGAAGTTTATTTTGACCCCAATGCTTGCTAATTCAAGTAAATGTATCTGTATTTTAACAATATTTAGCTATTTTTTACTGGAATGTGTGACTGCGCTCCTTATTTGAGAAAAAGGTCTTCATTTTAAATGAGCTTGAGTCTCCTCTTGAATCGTGTTTTGAGGCGTTGAGGTGTGTGTGTGTTGGCCGTGTTGTTCAATGTCCATTAGAGATCTCAAGGACACGCGTCTGCGTCACGCCGGCCGTACTTCTGTACTGTAACGGAGTTAATGTGTAACGCTGAGGCCAGAACACACACCTGATTCAGTCCAGCTATACGTGCATGTGATGCACTGAAGTGTTTCAAGGGTTAATTCCCCCAAAAATGAAACGTCTGTCATTATTTACTCTCCCTCATTTCGTTCCAAACCCGTAAGACTTTTGTTCGTCTTCGAAACACAAATTAATATCTTTTTTGATCAAATCTGAGAGATTTCTGTTCCTCCATTGACAGCTACGCAACTACCGCTTTGAGTAAGGTTGGGAAAATCCATTTCGATTCTTCTTATCAATTCCTTTAGTGAGTATTTTAAAGGGATACTCCACTTTTTTTGGAAATAGGCTCATTTTACAACTCCCTCTGTGTTTTTTTTACCGTTTTCGAATCCATTAAGCTGATTTTCTGATATTTAGAAGAATATCAGTAACCAGATCATTTCTGGTCTCATTGACTTCCATAGTAGGAAAAAAAAATACTACGGTAGTCAATGAGACCAGAAACTGTCTGATCACTGATATTCTTCTAAATATCAGAAAATCAGCTTATTGGATTCGAAAACGGTAAAACTCGACTGTGGGGTAGTTGTAAAATGAGCCTATTTCCAAAAAAAGTGGAGTATCCCTTTAACATGTCATATGTGTGTGTTTGTGTAACTATTGGACGGCTCTTAAAGTGACAGCACTAATATTCCTGCATTAACACTAATCAAACAATTAAAGAGTGAAAACGCTTAAAATATCTAATGTATATTTTATTCATAAAGCGCAGTGTTATTTTACAATACAGTTACAGTTAATCACGGTTTATTTCAATCGTATCTTTGTTCAGTTTCATCTATTTGTTGCGATTTGCTAATTTTTTGTCTTTAATAATGCTCGATATTCATATTAGTTCGGCTAGTTGTGTGAGTGTTATTTAACCTTCTTTCGTGGTATTCAGCTTATTTATTTATTTTATTTTATTTTATTTATTTATTTAATCGGGACAGTGCACTTTAATGGACAGACTAACATTTCTGTAAAGACTGTAAATGAGAATAATTTTCACCTGTAGTCCCGAGTTAAATGTTAAAGCTTCAGTTAAATGTTTTACAATAAGACTAAATGTTTGTTTTTTTTACCTTATTGGAATCGAAATTAGAAATCGATAAGCAGAATCGAAATCGACGCTTCAAAAAGTTCATAAAGAGATGGTAAAACTAATCCTTATGAATTGACCGGTTTAGTCCAAATTTCCACTTTATATGATGAACAGGTTTAATTTAGATTTAATTGGATGGTTGTGGTTTGATAGACCATTTTGCAAGATGTAAACAACACTGGTCCAGAAGCACTTCCTGTTTCAGTTTGTAACTGTTTTCTTTATTTCACATGTAAAGAAAACATCTTAAAGATGTTTGTTTAACTTTTTGATTCAGTTTTATTTGTTCTGTTGGTTGTATTTTATCCCAGCTTATATGTAGTGTTAAAAAACTGAAACAGGAAGTGCTTCTGGACCAGTGTTGTTTACATCTTGCAAAATGGTCTATTGGCTGATCTCACGTGAGTGACAGGTTATAGCTCCGCCCACATCCCCAGAGAAGAAAGCTATTCTGATTCAAGATTATTAAAACAATAATGATGTGCACGGATAAATCATTTATGAGCAATATTCCATAAAATGGTCATGGTGACTTTAATACTCAGTCCCTACAAGCTTACAGTCACAGCATTTCCTAACGAGCTTCATCTTTTCCCTACGGGAGCGAGTTACGAGTAAGGAATGCAAATGACTTCCTGCAGTAGTTCAAAAAAAAAAAACTTGACCGTGTTGAATGTGGGATGATGAACTCGTTGTTGGCTTATGAGCACTTGTTCGGTATCTCTTGTCGGTGTGTTTGCACACGGACGGGAATGTTGACTCATGTCCTGTTGTTCTGTGTTTTCCAATCAACAATCCTGTTTTTTTTTTACTCAGATGTGCCTGGGGCTCAAAGTGATGGTTTTACTGGATGAAAGTGTTGAGATATTTATGGTAAACACGACCACAATGCCAGACTTTCTTCTAGTTTTTATGATTTATATTGTCCAGTATCTCCACAACACTTTAAAAAGCCCTTATTATGCCCTTTTAAAGAGTCTTGATGTGTTTCAGGCTCTTCATATTCTCCATTGTTGCGGCTCCTCTCTTCCCAGTCTGTCAGTAACGCTCTGTTTACTTCCTGTCTCCGCCTTCTGAAAGCACACTGTGCTCTGATTGGTCGGCTGGATCAGTGTGCTGATTGGTCGAGCGCTTTGAGTGTGTTTGGGAAAGTCCCGCCCCTTTAACACACTACTAACTAACTCAACCAGGCCCCGCCCCTTTATTCTGCGCATGAATTATTATAATGAGGAATATTGTTCCCGAGACTACAATGGAGGCGTTTCAGGAGTTCAGAAACAGTGTTTTGATGGTTAAACACACTAAAAAAAGAAGAAGCAGAAAAAAAGGCGCCTCGAATGTAAAGCGTTAGAAATAATGACCGTCCCTGAGGACACTGTATCCGTTAAAACTTTTCAATCCCGTAAGTGTTGAATATCCATGGTTTACAAACCGTCGAGTATTTTTGTTTTATCCACCCATATCCGATAACCTGTCAGTCAGGAAATCCCTGATAAATCTGATTTGTTTTCTTTTGTCTTCCAGCAGAGAGCGACACAGACAGCGCCAGCGAGGAAGACTCCAAAGAGGTATGTGCAAAAATAACATTAAAAAAAACTATAAGACACAGAACAGCATTGTTAATGCAGTGAAAGTGGCCAAAACGAAGAGTGCTTTTAATGGGTGTGTACAAGCAATTCCCAGAATCCTTTTGTGTACAGGTTTGTTGGTTTAATGCGACTGCCTCAGGGCTTGTGAAGAAATGAATTGTGGTTAACGGCCAAAACACACTGCGACGGTTGATATCACACAATGACAGTGCACTTAAAGTTGGTATGAAAGAAGTTGTGGTCTATTGTTCTGAATATTAAGAACAAATGTGGGCGGAGCTTGATTGAGTCTGTGTGGAATTGATTGGATGGTTGTGGTTTGCTATTGGCTGATCTCATGTGAGTGACAGGTTATAGCCCCGCCCACATCATCATAGAAGAGAAGAGATGCTGCGAGAGGAACTTATTCTCATTCAAGATTAAGAGACATGCATTAAAAATAAAAGATGCATGGATAAATAATTTTTCCATTATTCCTTAAAAGAGTAGTTCATTTAAGAAAATTTCCTGATAATTTATTCACCCCCACTTCATCCAATATTCATGTTTTTCTTTATTCAGTCGAAAAAAAAAAAAAAGAAATGACAGTTTTTGAGGAACACACTCTAGGATTTTTCTCCATATAATGGACTTCAATGGGGTCCAAACGGGTCGAAGGTCCAAATGAGAGTTTCAGTGCAGCTTTAAACGATTCTGGACGGTGAATAAGGGTCTGATCTAGACAAACCAGCCGACATTTATAACGAAATACACATTTATATACTTTTAACCACTAATGCTGGTCTTGCACGAGCTGTGATGCGACACACGTTATGTAATCAGGTTGAAAGGTCAAGCGTGATGTAGGCGTAAGTACAGGCAGAGCGAACGTGCAAAGACTAAGTCAAACGCCATTTACAAATAAAAGGTAAAACAACGATGTCGGATGATTTTAAAGTTGGAGGAGAAAATTAGATGGAGTTTTTCACTCTACTCTACATTTACCGCCTGACCTTTCAATCGTGATTACATAAAAACGTGCAAGTCAAGCATTTGTGGTGAAAAGTATATAAATGTGTATTTTGTTATAAATGTCCGCTCGTTTCGCTAGATAAGATCCTTATTCATCGTCTGGTGTCGTTTAAAGCCCTTTGAAGCTGCACTGAAACTCTCGTTTGGACCTTGAACCGTTTGGACCCCATTGAAGTCCATTATATGGAGAAAATCCTGGAATGTTTTCATCAAAAACCTTCATTTCTTTTCGACTGAAGAAAGAAAGACATGGACATCTTGGATGAGATGGGGGCGAGTAAATTATCAGGAAATTTTAATTTCTAAAGTGAACTACTACTTTAGTTTAAAATACTTAAAGGAGTAGTTCACTTTTAAAAAAAACTTTTGCTGATAATTTACTCGCCCCCATGTCATCCAAGATGTCCACGTCTTTCTTTCTTCGGTCAAAAAGAAATGAAGGTTTTTGATGAAAACATTCCAGGATTTTCTCCATATAATGGACTTCAATGGGGACCAAACGGTTCAAGGTCCAAATGAGAGTTTCAGTGCAGCTTCAAAGGGCTTTAAACGACACCAGACGATGAATAAGGGTCTTATCAAGCGAAACAATTGCTCACTTAAAAAATAAATGAAAAAGTTTAAGTTTAATAAGCACAAATGCTCGCCTTGAGTCATTTCGTTTGTTGAATGAACCAAATGACTCGAAAAAAGATTCGTCCATTTTGATGAACAGAAGAGTCACGAACGCGCATCACAGAACAGAGCAAGGCGAGCATTTGAGCTTATAAAACTTAAACTTTGTTGTTTATTTTTTAAATAACCGATCGTTTCGCTTGATAAGACCCTTATTCATCGTCTGAAATCGTTTAAAGCCCTTTGAAGCTGCACTGAAACTCTCATTTGGACCTTGAACCGTTTGGTCCCCATTGAAGTCCATTATATGGAGAAAATCCTGGAAAGTTTTCATCAAAAACCTTAATTTCTTTTAAAACGTAAATGCGAGCTGCATTCTCAGCATTGCCACACGAGGCGCTATCATATAAACGTCATGCTTGTATAGCTTGAGGAGAATATGTTTGTAGCTTATCGGTTTGACGGCACAGATATTCAAAGAAAGCTTTATCGCCCTCTTGTACTGAATACACAGCAACACAAACTGGCATTTGCATATGTGCATAGAGGACGTCTGTGTGTGTCTCGAGGCTGTGAAAGGCTTGTTGTGGCCGTTGAGGGTTACGTTTAAAGCGCTGTCAGTGCTCAACTGTTTGCTCAGTCGTTTGTCTAACTAACCCGAGCCCTGGTTCACGTCGGCTTCTTGTGTGTGATACTGTGATGCTCTGAGCGAGCGCTGGCACAGCTGCTTTGAGTAAACTATTCTCGGGTCATTTCCTCAGTGTAATGTTTTATAATTAGTCTTGTAGAAGCTTGCCAGATCTTTATAAACCAACTGTACCTTACCGTATAAATCTATTTGGCTGCTTACAAACAAACAATATAAACACACAGTTTAACCGTGAGCCTTTTTAGGTGAAGGATAGAAGGTTGATGCAGAAATATGTTGCAAAAAATGTATTGTAAAAGTGCCTTTGTGAATGCATTAAAAAAGCATTCATTATGTGTAGGTTAATATACAGTTGTGGGTAATAGTAAGGGATATTTGTTTTTAATGATCCTATAAGTCTGGTTAAACCATTAAATATGAGGAAAATATTTTATATATTTTTTTAAATTTGAGGTTAGAACAAAATATTAAACCTGGTTATGGTATTTATCTGATATTACTGGGCAAAAAAAGGTGAACTACAACTACATATGCTTGTTTACGCCACAGAATAAAACATTTTAAAAGGTAATTGCGACTTTTTATCTCACAATTCTGACTTTATTTCTATGAATTGTGTGTTATAAAGTCAGAATTGTGTTTTAAAGTCAGAATTGTGTTATAAAGTCAGAATTGTGTGTTATAAAGTCAGAATTGTGCATTACAAAGTCAGAATTGTGTATTATAAAGTGTTATAAAGTCTGTATTGTGAGTTATAAAGTCAGAATTGTGTGTTATAAAGTCAAAATTGTGAGTTATAAAGTCAGAATTGTGTATTATAAAGTGTTATAAAGTCAGTATTGTGAGTTATAAAGTCAGAATTGTGTGTTATAAAGTCAAAATTGTGAGTTATAAAGTCAGAATTGTGTTTTAAAGTCAGAATTGTGTGTTATAAAGTCAGAATTGTGAGTTATAAAGTCAAAATTGTGAGTTATAAAGTCAGAATTGTGTTTTAAAGTCAGAATTGTGTGTTATAAAGTCAAAATTGTGAGTTATAAAGTCAGAATTGTGTGTTATAAAGTCAAAATTGTGAGTTATAAAGTCAGAATTGTGTTTTAAAGTCAGAATTGTGTGATATAAAGTCAGAATTGTGTTATAAAGTCAAAATTGTGAGTTATAAAGTCAGAATTGTGTGTTATAAAGTCAGAATTGTGTGTTATAAAGTCAGAATTTTGTGTTATAAAGTCAGAATTGTGTGTTATAAAGTCAGAATTGTGTGTTATAAAGTCAGAATTGTGTGTTATAAAGTCAGAATTGTGTTATAAAGTCAAAATTGTGAGTTATAAAGTCAGAATTGTGTGTTATAAAGTCAGAATTGTGTTATAAAGTCAGAATTGTGAGTTATAAAGTCAGAATTGTGTGTTATAAAGTCAGAATTGTGTTATAAAGTCAGAATTGTGTGTTTTAAAGTCAAAATTGTTTTTTAAAGTCAGAATTGTGTGTTTTAAAGTCAGAATTGTGTTACAAAGTCAGAATTGTGTATTATAAAGTGTTATAAAGTCAGAATTGTGAGTTATAAAGTCAGAATTGTGAGTTATAAAGTCAGAATTGTGTGTTATAAAGTGTTATAAAGTCAGAATTGTGTGTTATAAAGTGTTATAAAGTCAGAATTGTGAGTTATAAAGTGTTATAAAGTCAGAATTGTGAGTTATAAAGTGTTATAAAGTCCGAATTGTGTGTTATAAAGTGTTATAAAGTCAGAATTGTGAGTTATAAAGTGTTATAAAGTCAGAATTGTGTGTTATAAAGTGTTATAAAGTCAGAATTGTGAGTTATAAAGTCAGAACTGTGTGTTATAAAGTGTTATAAAGTCAGAATTGTGTGTTATAAAGTCATAATTGTGAGATATAAACATTCTGAGAATTCTTTTCTTTAATTATATTTTATTCTGTGGTGAAAACAAACAAAAAACGTATAGTAAAGTCAAAAGAGCTCACACTGTGTGACGCTGTGCGGAGAAACAGAGCTGAGGCTGGGTCCAAACGCAGTGTAGCTTTATTAACAAACTTGAAACAAGACACAAGACTAGAAGCAGGACTCGAGAATCATGAAAGCACCAACGTAACACACATAAATTCAAACAACCAACAAAGACAGGGCAGAAACACAGGGCTTAAATAATCAAGGACAAACGAGTTAGACAAGATAACAAGGGGGCGTGAGAAATGAGAAACACCTGGGATAAATAATAGACGGCCAATAACTAATAACGAAAACACACAAAACCACTTTGTGACACACTGACTACAACATAATCACTTATTAATATTTTCAAGTTCTCTCTAGTTGTTTTTTTTTTTAACGTGTGTCTACAATTTCTGGTGTTGCACAATTTACTCTGATTCATCACTATCATCATCACAAATCAATCGACTCCAAGCACAACTACGCTAAACGCTTAGACAATTTGACCCAGTTCCTGTTAACGTTGTGTCAATTAAGGTGGAATTCTTTAATTGTGGCAAAACGTGCGAGAGATGAATCATCAATATTTTGGTCTATTTTTAAAGCGCACACACATTAGATCTGCTGGGAGAGAGGTTAGTCCGCTTGGAAGACAGATGTGTTGAAAAGCAGCACACACACACACACACACACTGAAAGCCACACAACTAATGTCGATGTTTTAAATGCCTGGTCTTGTGATTTATGTTTGATGCCTGAGATTGTGGCTTTTCCTATTTCCCGTTTGCGAGCGCTCTGTGTGTGTCCACGTGGATCTGTGTGTGTGTGTGACATCGAGCCGCTGTTTTCGGTTCCTGCGCCTCAGATCTGTGACGCAGAGAGCGAGAGAGAGAGAGAGAGAGAGAGAGTGTACGCTCACATGCACTCACACTCTCACACACTCACGCACACACAACAAATAATACAATAAATAAATAACAAATTGATTTAAATAAAAAAATATATCATTTAGAAATATAATTAATTGTAATAATTCTAATTTAGATAGATAAATAGATTATATATGGATATTATATATATCGAAAACCAAGTAATACAAATTGATTTCAATTAATATATGATTATAATAGATTTAATCTTACAATGAACAGCATATTTTATATTATATTAATATTATTTTATTTCGTAACAAATAAAAAATGACTAAAAAGGATATATATATATATATATATGTGTGTGTGTGTGTGTGTGTGTGTATAAACCGATTTTTAATGAATTTATCAAATATTACGGCGGTTTATATCCTACACCTGCACCGCTGTTAGTGTTTGTCTGCCCTCCTGATGTTTGGCTTCTCAAGCCCTTCTGGAAGGTGTGTGTCCTCAGTGTGTCGTCAGGAAGCGTGTGTGTATCTGCAGTGTGTGATAGTCGACTCTGCCAGGGAAACAATAGCAGCTGTAAATAATCACTGATCTGAGAGCTGTTAAAACACTGAGTGTGTGGACGCCAACTAACGTCTTTCTGGAGAGAACAATGAAAGGCTTGAAGCGGAAGTGGTGTGTGTGGCGGGGATTATCGTAATCTGAACAAAAGGAAGTGTGTGTGTGTTTATGACATAACTTCAGGTTGTAATTCATGAAAATATAGTGATGTTTCCTGGTTAGAGGAATATTGACAGACCTTTGTGCTCTGGATCGCGACACTGAAGCTCAGTTACTGTTAAAAACACACTCACCACTGCTTTTAAAACGATTTAGCAACACATCTGCGTGTTCACAGTTCACAGGGGTTTTCAAACGGGTCCTGGACCCCGGGGGGGCCGAAAGCCAGTCTAGAGGAAAACAGTGTAAAAACTAATAAAGTAATACAAATAAAATGAAAGTAAAGTAAAAAATATGTATTATTTTAATAAATAAAAAGACATTTTAATAATAATATTGATTTATTTAAATAAAAAATAAATTAATAAAAATGCCTAAAATAAATAATTATAAGAGATTAAACAGAATTTTTATTTAATTTTTCATTTTATTATTAAAAATAAATGTTATTGATTTTAAAATTGTGTAAATAATTAAATAATAAATATATCATTTTAATAGAATAAACTAAATTTTGATTAAAATAATACATTTCATTTACATTTAATAAATGCAAATTGATTTCAAATAAGTGTAAAAAGGAAAAATAAATAAAATGAAAGTAAATGCATATCTAAAAACATTTCATTATAATAAAGAAATATTTATTTTAGTAAAGAAATGTTTAAATCTATATTTAAATAAATAAAAATGTGTAAAATAATAATGGGATCAAACTAATTTTTTTATTAAATAAATGCAGACTGATTTTAAAACTGTATAAAAACTTATAAAATAATAAAATAAATGAAAGCAAATACATAACTAAAACATTTGATTATTTATAATAAATAAATAGATATTTTAATACAAAATATTTAAATGAAAAAAAGCCTAAATAATAAATAAATAAATAATTCTAATATATTAAACAATTTTGATTAAAAATAAAAAAATGCATTTTATTAAAATTAAATGTTAATTGATTTAAAAATTATAAAATAATAAATATATAATTATAATAGAATAAACATAAATTTTGATTAAAATAATACATACAATAATAAAATAATACATTTACATTTCATTTAATGAATGCAAATTGATTTTAAATGCAAAAAGGACAAATAAATTAATAACTAAAATGAAACATTTAATTATAATAAAGAAATATTTATTTTAATCAAGAAATATTTACATTTTGAAAAAAAATGTGTGAAATAATAATGGGATTAAACTAAATTTTTATTTAATAAATGCAAAATGATTTTAAAACAGTGTAAAAAAAAAATAATAAAATGGAAGTAAATACATAACTAAAACATTTAATTATAATAAATTAATAGATATTTTAATAAGAATATTTAAAGATTTATTTAAGCCTAAATAATAAATACATATAATAGATTAATTAAAATTTTGAATAAAATAATACATGGAAATTTTTAAATTTAAGAAATAGAAACGTAATATATATATATATATATATTTTACTTTTTCTCCGATTTCTAAAAGATTGTGCTGGTATTTAATCTGAGTATTCTTGTATATTCTAGTGTCCATATATGCGATATGATCCCTGACAGTGCTTTTGTGTTTCCTGCAGCGCCTCCAGGCCTCACTGTTCGGACTCGAAGACAAGAAGCGGATGCCCCTTCCCGGCATGTCCTCCTTCATCTCTCCCGACAAGCCCAACTTCAAGATAACCACCGTCCGAGACTCCGCCCCCTTCCCCGGTGGGACGTCCTGGGACAACCCTTTCCCCTCATCCCCGCTCGCGCCGGGACCCTCGGGCGCACCGGCGGCCCACGAGAGCCGAGCCAGCGTCATCATGAAGACCCCCGACGTGTCCAAGTCCTCCGTCAAGAGTTGCTGATGACCAAACCCCGAGGTGGACGCGTGGAGAACACTATCAGCCATTTTAATAAAGGACCTATGAGCTCACGGGACACACATGGACCATCCCACGGGAGCTGAACCACATCCTCCCAAACAGGAAGTGACACGTGAGCTGAAATTCAGGGAGTCCGTAAGCCATTCTGAATGTGTAAATAGGAGGGATCGTTGCCTAATTGCCTTTAGCCGCCCGAGCACCTTATGGAGAGGAATCAGTGACTTTAGTAGCTCGCAATCATGACGTTTTACCAGATAAACAGCATAATATTAACTTATCTTAAGACCTTCAGTGCGAGCCAATATATTTTTATACCTTTATGCAATGGCGTTTTACATTTATAGGCCCTGTGATGTAAACAATCCTGTGTGAATTAGTGGTTTTTATGACGAAACAAAGCACTTGTTTTTATGATTTTGGTTTTTTTTTAAAGAAAAATGTAATCTTTTTAATGTGTCTCTTTCTACTGTATGTGAACATAAAAAGATGTGTGTGTGTGTGTGTGTGTGTGTGTGTATATGTGTGTGCTGCTTGTCTTGTGTTCGTCTACAGCAGTGTATTCAAGTCCTGGATAATGTGTGCGATCTTTATACACATTCAAGGGCTTCTGTAATGATTCTGGTGTATAAAAATCACGTGATCATGACAATAAATGACAGACTACACTGTTTGGGCCAGAGTTGGGTTGTTTGCTGTGTGTCTGTACTGAAGACATTAAAGAGAATCACTTGGTCTGGTTGTGTTTTTATATTGGAGTCATTTTCCATGGTTGTTTTACTCAAATCCGCTTTTGAATTGAATTAGTTTCTCGTGGCTCTTATTCGAGTGAAACGCTTCTGGGACAAGAATAAATGTGGGCGGGGGATGGTTGTAGTTTGCTATTGGCTGATCTCATGTGAGTGACAGGTTATAGCCCCGCCCACATCATCAGAGAAGAGAAGAGATGCTGCGAGAGGAACTTATTCTAATTCAAGACTATTAAAACATTATATGAATGAATATAATTCCTGCGGTATTCAATTCCTTTTGACCATAAAATCATAAAATGTAGAAAATCTTTTATAGGGAAAAAAGTCTAGTGAAGCTCGGGTAAATGAAACCATTTATAAAACAAAATAAGTAAAATGGATGATCAATAAAGGGATAGTTCACTTTGAAATTAATTTTTGATATGTTTTATCTTACCTCAAGGGCATCCAAGATGTAAGTGTCTTTGTTTCCACAGTATTTTCAATTTTGACATTTTTCAGTCAAACCGTTGTTGTCTATCAGTCACACACTGGAGGCTAAGGGGGTCCACCAAAGAGCAGCACAGAGAAGTCCAGATTAAACATGATTTAATGACTCGTAAATGTAAGTACACATTGATGGCCTAAGACACGAAACGAGCGGTTTGTGTGAGAAAACCAACAGTATTTATATCGTTTTTACCTCGTGTAATCACAGTGATCTGAATCAGTTGTTCAATGTCCAACTGAACCGAACTGAATCAGTTCAATGTTACGCCGGAAGTGATCGCTTGCATGTGACGTCACTCAATTTACACAGAGATTTCGGAAGTTTTACCTTTTACTAAACATTTTTAGATATACCGAAATCGTCTTCCATTGCGGTTTCCCGTATATCTAAATATGTTTAGTGAAAGGTAAAACTTCCGAAATCTCTGTATAAACAAAGAGTGATGTAGCCGCGCAGGCGATCACTTCCAGCACATGCGCAGACCGAAGCTCCCGTGCCGTTAGATCATTTTGTAATGGCTATCATTGCACGAGGTAAAAACGATATAAATACTGTTGGTTTTCTCACACAAACCGCTCGTTTCGTGTCTTAGGCCATCAATGTGTACTTACATTTACGAGTCATTAATCATGTGTAATTTGGACTTCTCTGTGCTGCTTTTTGGTGGACCCCCTTAGCCTCCAGTGTGTGACTGATAGACAACAACGGTTTGACTGAAAATTGTCAAAATTGAAAATACTGTGGAAACAAAGACACCTACATCTTGGATGCCCTTGAGGTAAGATAAAACATACCAAAAATTAATTTTTTCAAGTCCACCGTTAGGGACAGGTAAGTTATGCCTAAAACGCATTCTTGTTTACTTTTTTAGTTTTGGTTGTTTCCTACATGATTAATATACTTGTATATTTTCATTGTGAATTATCAGTATGTTTTTTTTTTTCGTCTAAGTCTCCGCGTGTGTTTTTTTTTTTTTTATATTTTTATTTTTTTTATATTTGACAACTCAACTTTACACGATCCAAGACAAGTCAACATGTGTTTAACACAGGTGTAATTCCCCTCAGTAACTGGTGAATGTATGTGTGTAAAGCCTCTATTTAGCCGGTTTAACAGTTGAACGAGGGTATAAAGTTAAGGTTATTGCACAACCCAGTGGCGGACTAAACACACTTCAGTTTGTTTGTAATATTTCTGCTTTACTAGCTTTCAGACACGAGAGGTCAGTGCTGTACAGATTGTGTAGACTAGAGCAAACTGAAGGCCAAGAGTTTTCAGGCCGAGAGTGTTTTGTAGGTTACATGCCTCTAAACAGGAGAAAATATTGGAGGTTGTAAATACAGGAGGTTGTAAATATGTTCGTGAACGGAAACGTCGTGGACAAAACAGAGGCCTATCGTGACAACAGCGAGCTCGAGTTCCCAGCTTTCCTTTCAGCTGGGTTTGAAAAGGACTTTGTTGAGGTTCATTTGAGTTCAAATCGGCCAATTTGCATGTTAATTAATCTTCGAATGGAAGGTAAACAGATTCTGCTTGTTGTGCATGATGGAGGAAGTTGAGAATCGTCTGAACTCGTTTAAATTGTAGAGTTTTTTTTTTTAATTAATTAATTTATTTTTTTGTTGAGTTGAATAGTACTTCATTATAATTCTGTGACTACTAGACCAGTGATTAGTCGAGGGGCAATCAGTCTGTTTGTTTCATGTTGTCAAATTAGATGTAACTTAAAGTCTGTGGTGAAAATCCAGCTTTTAATGTTGTTTATGTGTCTATGTGGTGTTATTAATATGCTTGGTACCAAACCGAAATCAATTTTTCAAAAGGTGAAAAAGACGTCCAATTAAGTGTAAATGCATTACATTATATTTGTATTGTACTAAAAACATATTTCAATACATTTTTAAAACACTTAATTGGACGTCTTTTTCACCTGGGTGGGTATACATCAACAAATTTCAGAAAATGAAATACGGTTTATTTCTGTAAAGGTGATTACAGTTTTAATGTATTTTTAACAGAATTGTTCTGGCAACCAAAGTTGCCAGCTTTATTCCGTAAAAAATACGGGATTTTTTACGCAAGAAAAAATAGAAAAGAAAAAAGTCCTCCTGAAGGATCCGTCTAGTCAGTGTGTGTGTGTGTGTGTGTGTGTGGACTCTCTCTCCCCGCACACACACACACACACGCCCACTGTGCCGGAGAGTTCTCCTGAATCATCAGATGATCGAGCCTCTTCTTCTCTCCGTCAGTTCGGCTTCAGCTTCATCATGACTCGCGTCGCGTTGAACATCAGCGTCGCGTTTTTCCTGCTCCTGTCGCGATGCTGCGACGCTAACCGCAAACTCCTGGTGTTTCTCATCGATGGATTCCGTTATGATTACATGGACGATTTACAAAACCTGTCCGGATTCAGAGAGATCGTGGAAAACGGTGTAAAAGTGGATTATCTCACTCCAGATTTCCCCAGTCTGTCCTATCCAAACTATTACTCTCTCATGACAGGTGGGCCTTACCAACTTTTTATTTATTTATTTATTTATTTATTTATTTATTTTTTACAACAAATGCAATCATAAATAGCCACTAGCTAACACTTTACGAGTTAACTACGATAATTAGCATGAACTGCACGTATACAACATTTATTCATCTTTGTTTATGTTAATTTCAACATTTACTAACTAATACTTTATTAAAATCCTGTTAACTTTAGTTAATGCACTGTCTGTGAACTAACATGAACAAAAACTGGATTTTTATTAACGAACACTAACAAAGATCAACAAAATTATGGTTAGTTAATAGGCTACGTTAATGTTAACTAATGAACCTTATTGTAAAGTGTTAGCCCTACCTTAGTTGGTATGTTAAAATAAGTTACAATCTTGTGCTGCAGTCCTCCATGATTATTAGTCAGTGCAGGTCTTTTTAAAACAGTTTTCACCTTTATAATGTAGTAAGCTGAGATTTTATGAACTCTAATTATGTGTTTGTGAAGCCTTACACAAGCATGGCACACCTTGGCACAGGCTTCAACGCCTAATCCAATCCTGATGTGAGATTTGAGACACTCTTCCAGTGTAAAGGTCCTCAGGAACTCTCTCTTTGTTGTTTGGGTTTATTGATAACAGAGACCAGTCTTATCTCTCTCCACAATAACCACAGAAACAGCTCGCTCTCACTTAGATTCAAACATCTGTTTCAGAAAAACAGTAAACTAGCAGATGGAAATATCCGAGTACATTATTTATTTAAAGGGACACTGTAATTGAGTTATTTAGTTTAGTTATGGGAGAGGCATATGTTGGGTTGTTTGGGCTGAGCTCCAGCACACACGCGTTGACCCGCGGCGTTCACAATCCCTGCCGATGCTTTGCTGATGCTGGTGTTTTGTTTGAGCACATTCCCCTCGCACGAAGCTTTCACAGAGAAACCCAACACAACTGAGAGCAAAGCTGTGCCATGATTCATCTCTCATAGAATAACATTCATCAATGCCTTTAAACAAGGAAGATTTAGTTTGAGCAAGGATGCATTAAATAGTGTTCAAATCAATGCTGTTCTTTTGAACTTTCGGTGCAGCAAATAAAAATCATCCGTTTCCACCAAAATATGAACTGTTTTCAACACTGGTAATAATAATAAATGTTTCTTGAGCATCCGATCATCATATTAGAGTGATTTGAGGATCATGTGACACTAAATCACTATCAGAAAAAAAGGTACAAAATCTGTCACTGGGACTGTACCTTTTCAAAAGGTACACTTTTGTACCTTAAGGCTGCATATTGGTAGCTTAATGGTACATATTAGCACCTAAAATGAACATATCAACACTTAAACTGTACATATTAGTACCTGAAATGTACATATTAGCACCAAAAATGTACATATTAGTACCTGAAATGTACATATTAGCACATCAAATGTACAGATTAACACCTAAAATGTACATATCAACACTTAAAATGTACATATTAGTACCTGAAATGTACATATTAGCACCAAAAATGTATATATTAGCACATAAAATGTACATATTAACACCTAAAATGTACATATCAACACTTAAAATGTTCATATTAGCACCTGAAATGTACATATTAGCACCAAAAATGTACATATTAGCACATAAAACATACAAATTATGTCTGTTTCCACCAAAATATGAACTGTTTTCAACACTGGTAATAATAATAAATGTTTCTTGAGCATCAGATCATCATTAGAGTGATTTGAGGATCATGTGACACTGAATCACTCTCAGAAAAAAAGGTACAAAAGCTGTCACTGGGGCTGTACCTTTTCAAAAGGTACACTTTTGTACCTTAAGGCTGCATATTGGTAGCTTAATGGTACATATTAGCACCTAAAATGAACATATCAACACTTAAACTGTACATATTAGCACCTAAAATGTACATATCTAGGGTTACCAACTGTCCTGTTTTCCCAGGACATGTCCTGTTTTCATATAACAATATAACCATTTT